AAAAATCAGATCAGGTTGTGAGTTATGTCTGAATTTGTGTTTCAGCGAGGTTTCAGCGGTGACACAGAAACAGGTGACAGCTGCATGTAACAGGCAGACAAGGAGGGTCTGTTCTGTGTCTCTTATGGTGGTAAAACCCTGTGCTGAGCAAAACTTCAGTGAACAAAGAACCTTCGGAGCCAGAGCTGTTTTGTAAAGAAACAGTTTAAAAATCTTACTCTACTTTTCCCTGTGAGAAAGTTGTTCGAGCAGGAAATAATTCAGCAGAAAAAGATTAGATCACAGCCTGATGCTTGTCCCTGTTAGTCCCCACAGTTCTGCTAGTTCAGATTGAAGTAACTCTTTTAAATCATGTCTAAAATATGAACATGAAAACACTGGATACATTAAGGACCTTGACATGACTGACAAAAATAAAATAAAATAATCAAATAAAAAAGATTGAAAAAGACAATAAAACATATTCTGAAATGCCATTAAAGCACAAATATTTCTGTACATCTATGTCCACAACTCTGAGGTCCAACGTGTCCCAGCATTGTAAACACACAGTTTATTCCATATTACATAAGATCACGTGATGGGAAATGGAAATTTTCATCCCCATTTTTTTCTTCATTTTTGACAGTTCAGTTTTATGCCAGTGAATGAAAACTATTCTTCAGTGTTACTTTGTTTTCTTTGTTTTTCAATAGTCTCTTTCACAAACATAAAAATGTAAAGACAGAGAGGCACTGCTCACGGTTCATGTTATTTCGTCAGAACTGTGTTAGTTTATAATTTTGCGTCAAACTTTGTACGTCAATCCTCCAAAAAAATACAATAATTTTTGTCTTGTTTGTCACTTTAGATAAAAGACTATAGCTTTATATTTTCTTTGGTAAACATTACAGAATAACAGGTAGTGTCGCTGTTCTATCGTCAAAAGTTTAAACAGGAAACGTCACAGTACAGTATTGTTTGGACTCCCACTCATTCCTCAAACCAAATTTTCCCAGTGTCTCCCAGCAGAAGGGGTGGGTCTGTTTTCCACCATCCACCCTTTCCAAATCCTATAAATAGCAGATGTTTCAGGGGGCATAACAATGGTGTGCAGGCTTCACCATTCATAGTTCCTGGCACCATTCCGAGCTGTCTCCACCCTCTACCTGACTCATGTCCCTGCTCATTTACTGTATGTAAACACACTCACAGAGCAGCAAAAAACTACAGACACAACCCTGATCTGAATCTCACGCAGGATGAATATACTTATAAACAAGATGTGGTATGCATACTTTTTACAGTCAACAGAGATTCCAAAATTAATTTAACCCAGCACTTTCATTTCAGGACAGTCCAAGCTCATCTTTTTGATTAGTTTATTAGAAAACCAACTATATGTATGCTTTTCTTACTCCCTTAAGCTGGATAGCATGAGATGTTGGTTTCCAAAGGTGAGATCATTTCTAAACTGAGAACGACAATGATGTAAACCCCACCATGGACAGCCAATGAGAACAAAGTACAGCAAGCCCTAAAAACATCCTATTATTTATTAGTTTAAATAACCATCTATGGTAACAATAGCCCTGTGTATGGCCTTAGTGGACCCTTGTGTGATTGCAGCACTCATCCTCTTATCAATGTTGATGTCTTTGATGTTTGCAGGCATTCGTGTTCTCTAAAGGGCCTGTCTGCATTTAGACTGGGCCACTGCACCTTTCAGTTTAATCTATTTTGTTATCGTTTTTCTGTTGTGCTGGGTTCAATGTGTAATTGTGTGACATAGTCTGTTGGACAGATGGTCTCAAATTTGACTCAGTAATAATTCATAATTCATGGTTGACATTAGAAGTGCGAGGTGGCATGGTCCTGTAGCTTCAAAGCAATCCCAAATTAGTAAGCCATCACTGATGACACATGGTACAAGCAATCGTTATTATCTGGCAGGTGTAGCACTTACTTCATTTTGTGACCTCATGAGGACAGGGAGATCTTTTATTATACTTTTACACACATAAATGGTTAAAGAGGTTTATCATGGCCACATAAAGTGAAATGTATTCCCCAATCTTTGCTGAATTAATTTTAGGATGATTTCTATGAGAACTTACAGCTGTTTGTGCTCAGTAGCTAAGTGAAGAATTAGACATTGAACTACTAAATATAAATTGAATCATTAAAAATAAAAAGATGACCATATTTAGTCGTGAGTAACTTTCCTTGTTTAAAAAACTAAATTTAGGTCAACTGAGGCAGCTTAATCTTCATACAAATATAAATGATCATGCCATCTAAATCGGGTGGGTGTTGTAATCAATACTCAACAGCATTTTAAATATGTTCACAACTCCACTGCTATAGTGAACCTAGTACAACTGAAAGTGACTCGGTCTCACTTCCTAAGAACAACGGGGGAGCGAAAGCACGAAGAAAACTATAAATGACTACCACGAGATTTCAGCATTGATTGCGATTCATTGCAGGTCCCCTTGTTCTCAGGCTGAATTTTGGCTGGTGTCCAAAGTGATCATGAATTGTAGACTCTCTTTGTGCTTCTTGCCATCACACTCCCACACAGAATTCCTCCCTTCAGCTCTGCTCATCGCTCCCCCTTTTCAGTCTGCAGGGAGAAGGAACTCATAGGTAGTCGACAGGTTTACAACTGGATGCCTTAATCAAACAAACTGTGAGAAAGTACTAACTTCCGTCTGAGCAGTGATACCCAAGAGCCAAGACAAGTATGCAAATACTGACAAACGGGGGAATGAGAAATGGAAAGCTTACTGAGCAGCAGCAGTTTCAGTGGCAGAGACTTAGTATGAAAGATCCTGTAAAACAGCTGCTGCTAGAGCAGACTGTGCGTGTGTGTGTGTGTGTGTGTGTCTGTGTGTGTGTGCGTGTGGTTTCTGTTCAGATTTTTTTTTGCTGGGATTGTTGTACTCACAACTTTTGAATCAAAATTACTCTATTTGTGGCTTAGTTGAATTAAGAAACGGTTCAGCCTGATTGGTGATTCATTAAAGACAAAGTGTAATAGCAGGCATCATGATGCATATCCTGCCAACTGTCCACCGAGCATGGGGCTGGTTTCTCTGCTCTGTGAAAAACAAAAAAACATTCATTAGCACCTTGTATTACTTTCACCATGCAGGCCGGCATGGACACTGACCTGTGCCAACAAAAGGGCACACTGTGACACCTCAGTACCTCTGAAGATACAGTTACTCATAGCTTATTTAAAAAATAAAGTAATTCCAAGCTCAATTAGTTGAACATTACAACTTCTGCTGCTGCACACAAAGCTGCACATGTAACTGTAACATATTTGTTTGCTATGCTCTTTATCTCCAGCCAGTAAACATCACTTTGTGGTAGATTTACATCATAACCTCTGAAATACCTCAGCCCAGACATGCTTACACGTTAATCCAATAATAAATGTTGGAAACATCTTGGGCAAACAACATCATAACTCTTGCTATATTTTTAGGTGCTGCTAGAGACATAGTGTCAAGATACGTGTGACACGTCTCCAGATGGCTGTTATTCATCGTTAATTAGTGAAGTGATCACTCTGAGAAATTTGAAAACAGGATCGCTGTTATACAGGTAAAGAGGATTATACCAAACACATCTAAGTAACATACAGAAGTAGAGTTGATAACTTAACTTGGCGTATAAATAAATATGGTGAAAACAGCTTTGGTCTTTCTTACAGAGACTCGGCTTCTCTAAGGTTCTATCTATTTTGTTACTTTGCAGTTTTCATTTCACTTTATCAGTTGCAAAATTTTTCCCCAGCCGTTTATTCCGTATACCACCTGCTTTTCCACTTCGAAACAGTCTACACCTTTTTAAACGTCTTCTGAAAGCTTATGTATCAGTCAGTCAGTAAAACATACTTTCACACACGTACGCTCATTTACATTTCTTCACTCAGCCTCCCAAAGGTTTTGGAGGTGGGGCTGAGCAACCTGTACCAGTCAGAAGTTTGAATGCACTTCATCAAAAGTTACTGTATGAGTCCACGTCTACCGAGTGAGTCAAGACAAACGAGCCGTAAGAGGCACGGAGAGACGCCAAAACACACACACACCCCGGGCCCTTACAGGATACGTGGAAGATTGTTATTTATTTATTTATTTTTCATTTTCCTGAGCTCACTTGTGCCGCACAGCGCCTCTAGAGCCCCTCCCGCGCCACAGGCAGCCCGGGAGGTGGGAGCACGCACTCAGGCGCGAGGCGTTGTGAGAAGAAGGAGGACCGTGACAGTCCGGGGCTGCCGGACTTCCAGACAGCCGCCGAGCAACGACGACCGCTGAGAGCCCCCCAACCCCCCCCCCCCCCCCCAAACACACACACACACACACACCGGCGCTGTGGAAGCATGAGTTTGGGCAGAAGTGCGCGCGCCGGCTGCTCACTTGTGCCTTCGCTAACACCTCCGGGGAGCTCGCGCGTTCCTGCCGGCGTTTAAGACGCTCGCGAGCGGCGGAGTTGGGGTCGCGCGCCGCGCTTCGTAGCGTGGCAGATGAGAGACGGACACCGGGAGAAACGTCACCGGGGAGCGCCGCGAATGTAGCCTCCGGGGGGTTTGGAAGCCGAACTCTTCTCTATCCAGCCCGCCGTCTTCCAGCGGTCATCCTCCCGCGGGGTGTTTCGGTGTCTCGCGGAGCTGTGAACGGAGGGTAGGGGTGCGGGGTGCGGGGTGTGGGGCGTGGGGGGGGTGGGGAAGCCAGGGAGGATGCAGGTGAAGAAGCACCGGGGGTCGGACCGGAGCGCCGGGGACATGCTGGAGGGAGACGGCCCCCGTAAAACCTCTTCGTGCTTCTCAAACATCAAGATATTCTTGATCTCGGAATGCGCCCTGATGCTGGCGCAGGGGACCGTCGGAGCCTACCTGGTGAGTTGGGCTGGGAATGGGGCACTGTGTCACTGTTGAATGGGTCTGCTGCATAGTGTGGGGATACCGGGGTCCGGTCTGTGTGTGTGTGTGTGTTTGTGTGTGTGTGTGTGTCTGCAGGTCCGCAAGCTGGAGCCATCCTGGACCTGCGTCACTCTGAGCAAAGTACAGTCTGCAGGACACTGTCTATGCTTCTGTCTTTTTCGTTATGATGCTTTATTTGGCTTCCATGTACCTAACTCAAACCTGACAGTATCTGTCCAAAACAAAGCTGCAGCAGCAGTAAGAGGGGAAAAAGTGGCTCCAAAACTCCGGCTCTCAGTAATGACATTAATCGTATTAGATTAAGAAGAAGCAGTAATTGGCTGCTTTGACCCAACACGTCTTTCAAGGTCAGGAATCTCCCACTAATTCTTCCTGTTGCCTACTCTCTCCGGTTTCTGCTCCCGCTTTCACTTTTACAATCCCTCACACAGTCTGTGAAGTTTTCTAAAACCTGTGTCCATTATGCCACTGCAATGAAAATGTCTAAACAGAGATATGGGAAAAGATGCAGGATCTTTCTTGTTGTTGATTTTTTTTAAGGCACAAAACTCCCCAAAGTGCTCCATTATATTCGTCAAAGCATCCGGGGACGAGCTTCAGAGCCTCAGAGAGCCTCTCAGTTTTGACATTAGCAATGTTTATTCTTCAGGAATGGCAGTGATTCCTGGCTGGCTCCCAATTAATAGACTAAACCCTAAATGCCATCTCCATATTTGGAGTGGAACATCTTATCTTCCTTTTAAGCAGACCTTCTGAGCATCCTGCGGCACAGGGCGTCAGCAGGGCTCGGTGGTACCAATCTGAATCAGGCGGAGGGGAAAAAAAGAGAACCCTTCTTTCACATTTAGAACAGAAAAAAAAGAAAGTAAATGCGCAGCCGTTTTTTTATGGTGCATTGCTTTCGGACATCTGTTCAAACAGTGAGTGAACTATTAACCTGAGAAAAGGGTGGGGTTGGAGTCACTGGATCAGGCAAATGCGTGTGGCTTTTTGCTGTTCCCTCCTTTGTCCAGCCAGCGGAACTCGTTTAAATAAAGTTTTGTGTACGCAGACGGGTCATCAGGCAACCGGCTTAGTCTCAGTCTGAAAGAGGTGTCGACCCGAACGAGCAACTACGGTGTCTGTGATAACTTTTACTGTCCGAGTGTGCCTTAAAGTGAGGGAAAAACCCAACTGTCAGAGCTCGGTGTCTTTCCGTGAGCCGCTCACTGTACGAGACAATCAGCAACAGCAGGGCAACGCACATGACAGAGGGCAGCTGTTTATCGGTTTTTACACTTAGTGAATTCTGACAATTGGACCGTTGTGAAAGCCTGACTGAAGCTGTTTGTTTAGCATCAGTTGCAATTCATTTGTTAGAAATCCATATGCATGGAGCCCCAGCAGGGCTGACACAACCCCGCCTCATCTCACAGGTTCACAGGGCTGCTGGCAGTGGGTAAAAGACCAAGCCACAGTTCACAGCCTCTGCAGCCATTTCTTCTACCTTTTTGAATACATTAATGGCTCCACAGGTTGTGGCAGTTCATCCCCACAGTGTATGAACTGCATCCCCTCTCCAAACATTCCGGCATCGTTACGCATCCAGCTGTCTCTGACTTATGGAAGGTACCCCTACGGGCAGATACAGAGGTTGTAAAAGGTGCTGGTGATAGATGGAATTTGCTGCCAGCAACCAAATCCTAAACTAGAAAGCTTGAGCAACAAAATTGCCGTGACACCTAAAACTAAACTCTAATGCCACTACGAGTCAGGTCATATTTTTTTTAGGGGTTTTATTTACTCTGCTGTATTGTTTTCTGCAGTGTTCCCAAAGGCTCCATTGTTTAGGTTCAGGTTAATGGACACATAAAGCTGTAACACCAGGGTGACTTATTGTGTGTGTCTGCCTCAGGCCTTTTTGTTTAGAGGTGGAGCCGTTAACAGAGAGCTTGGTGTCAGGAACCCTTCACAAAGTAGGAAATGTTTAGAAAAAGCAAGGTGGCAAGCGGTTTAGTTTGTGAGGATAGACAGAACTGAGCCCTCTGCTTAATATTTTTAGCTTAAAGGAAGAGATTTTTTCAAAATAGGGCTGCTGTCAATTAGACCAGTTATTTGAACTAACTAAACAAAGCTGGAGAGCAAACTGCATCATGGCTAAAGTTTGAGCTGAGGTTAAATGGCCGTGTAGTTAAATTGCTGTTAGCTAACCTTCAGTGGACCTTCACTAAGTTGCACCTCATAAAAGAGAGAGTGGAAATTATTCCGAACAGCCGAAGCAGGAGTTGGAAACAGCTGCTCAGCCATTACCAGAAGCCCCATCTCAGCACTTCCACGTCACTTTCACACCTTACTGTGCCGCTCTGACTGTCAGCAAGAAGCAGCTCTTTTTTTTTTTATCTGGGTCTTGATGTCATAACGCAGCCCATGTCGGCTCGTCCTGAAAAATGTTTCTGGAGGCTGGGATTCCTTGTGCTTGGAGAAGACTCGCTCCTCTGTTTGGTGACTGGCTGCCACTCGGCATGACAAAGTTTGTTTTGTTGCTGCGCAACAGATGAAACATTTCCACAGTGGTGAGTTGTATTCCAGGCAGAATGAGGCTGTGACCACTGACCAGCGAGCGTTCCACTTAGTTTTCCCCATATTATTCATTCTGGTCGAACTCCTCCTGGAAAACCGCCTTTTGAAGTCAGAGTGGAAGAACTGAGCACGTTGAACCCTCTCCTTTAGATGTTTTTTTTTTTTTCCTGTGCTGGCTTTAAATTACACACAAACGCTCAGCGTTCCACTGAGTCGCAGGTTTTGATTGGCTGCTTAGGACGAACCGCCGTACGCTCACATCCCCAGATGGGCGGAGGCAGACAGATATAAACACTGCCTAGCAAGTATGTCGGCATTTGTGAAAAGAAAAAGGCCATCCAAAAGCCAAACATCCCCCCCCCCACCAACTAAAAAGAAATGTCTGTACACATTCCAGAGTTTTCCATTGACTGAGCCTGAACTTCACTGAAGGACTCCAACGCAAAGAGCTTCCAGCTATCCTCTTCCTGCTCTTTGATCTGAGGGGAGGGGGTCAATGCGGTGGTGTTCAGGGCTGCAGTACAACCTGCTGCCAGACCCCTGAAAGTCAAAAAAGGACAGCCTACTTCAAAACACCACAGAGCAAATATGCCGAACAGTGTTTGTGTTCAGGTCCCAACATTTTCGGAGCCGGGCTCAGACACAGTGGTCATCTCTGTGTTCCGTAAAACGTACAAATCCAAATCAGCTGCCCTCAATTAAATCGCTGTGATGTAAGAATTAGATGCTAAATCTGCTCCAGCGGCAAAACCGAGAGCTGGCCTCCTCCCACAGATGTTTATGTTGGTGGGATAATTTATTTTGGAGCTCTTTCTCAGGGGCACCAAGAAAATGGAAAATTGCGGTGCCCTTTCCAGGCTACTTCGTCCAGTTTTAAAAATAGTTTCTTGACTGTTTCTGCCTGTGTCACAGCTGTTCACATCACCCAGAGAGGCTGGTTCCCACATAAAACAATCCTGCCTCATTTTACAACAAAGTCATTTGAGATCCTCAAAGCCTACAAGTGTCTTACTAAAGATCTTATCAGGTCTGTAATTCACAAAATGACAGCACAGAATTACAGACCTCTGAACTGATTCTGTTTGGATGTGGTGCAAACAGAACTCTCTAAACAACCACTCTGCTGTGCTGGCCTTAACTAAAAGTTACTGGAAAGCTTGAAACTTGGATGATGGTGACAGCTGGTGAAAGAGAGAGGCTTGAGATGAGCAATGGGAGTAAATGTTGCTTCGTCGGGCTAATCACAAACAGAGGCCTGTGGGCTGGGAGGGGCTCGGTGTGGAACATCTGAACAGCTCAGTGTTTATGCCGTTGCAGTGGAAAGATACACTCAGATCATGGGGGGAAAAAAGAAAAGTACTCCTACTCATCATGGTCCATTTTTCAAGCTCCCGTGGATGAAAAAGTGCCTCATTGTGTCTGGTATTTTCCTGCCACCGTGTGGTCTGATTTCTTTGTCCTCTCATTGTTTTCAGGTGAGCGTGCTGACCACACTGGAGCGGCGGTTCAACCTCCAAAGCGCTGACGTCGGAGTGATAGCCAGCAGCTTTGAGATAGGCAACCTGGCGTTGATCCTGTTCGTCAGCTATTTCGGGGCCAAAGCGCACCGTCCACGCCTCATCGGCTGCGGGGGCATCATCATGGCGCTCGGCGCCCTCCTTTCCGCTCTGCCCGAGTTTCTGACTAACCAGTATGAGATAGGGGAAATGTGGAGGACTGACGAGGGCCGGGACGTTTGCACCAACTCCAGCATCGGGGTGGAAAGGGAGGACCTTCTGTGTGCCAACAAGGCCAACACCAACATGATGTACCTGCTGCTGATCGGAGCGCAGGTCCTTCTGGGGATTGGAGCCACGCCCGTGCAGCCCCTGGGGGTTTCCTATATTGATGATCATGTGAAGAAAAAAGACTCCTCTCTCTACATAGGTGAGACATGTTTTCAAAACCGTCCATTTAAAAAAAAAAAAAGGCACATTCCGCTCAATTTAGTCAAAGACATGTGACATTAGGGCTAAACGGGGGGAAGTTGGGCTGAATAAAATTGCTGTCAAAGGTTGGCAGCGGGCAGAAAACACTAATTATCGCCCTGAATAAAAACCTATTTGCTGCACCAGTGATTTCCCAAGATAGCTAAAAAAAACTGGGCAGACGTGAACGCGTGCTGTCGGATGCAACGTTTGCCCGGTTTTAGCCAGCCGGGGATGCGTGACGTGTGCTCTTCCTTTGTTGTTCACAGGACTGTCAGGTGAGCACATCGTGGAGCTTTTAATCTTTTCACAGCGGTTTAAGAGGCAGAGAATACAGATACCGAGTGTCTGCTGTGTTGTCAGTTGCAGAAGGCTGCTGATGTGGCTTACCAAGGTTGCTTTTAAAGTGCAAGTTGTGCAAAATTCTGCCTGCACAATGGCTGTTTAGGGATATGCATTTGCTGCCACGTCTGTATTGTGCTATTTATGGTACACAGGGGACAACTTTAATGCTTTGCCTGTCATGTGAAGTTAACTAAATCCTCCAACTTTAAGCTTTGGACAGTCAGTGTCCTTTAAACCACAGCCGCAAATCCATACGATATCACGTTTCCTTGTTTTGACTTTGTCTGTAATGTGCTGCCCGGACAGCCCCATCTGCCTTTGATGGAGTGGCTAGATGTGTCTGCGTATGTGCTGTTTGTTGTGAGCGTGGAGCGGAGACAATAAGAGCCTGGGTGTAGGTTGAGCACAGGCTGGCACACACCCTTCCTGACACATTCACACAGCACCACGTTGTGTGGCTGCCTGTTGCCGCTCGCACACAGATGTGACCCGTCAAACAAAGGCCGCAGTGTGAGCCGTAATCTCAGGCCCAAAGCCGATTTTCCTGCTAATTGCCAGTCATCGTGTTTGTTTGTTCTACACGCGCTGCGTTTTCTTTCTTTTTTTACAGAGAGCACCTCGTGCGCCGTTCGAAAGTACAGATCCTGACAAAGAACAGCGGACGACCACTGTGCAGTGGTTTGTTAACGGGTCACAGTGGGGAGTAGTGTGTGAGTGACTGAAGTTTGGCAGTGGTACACGGGGGGAGATTTGGTTCTGTGCTTCTCTGATAAGCTGCTAGGAGGGCTGGAGGAAAACAAGCGGTGAGCAGCGAGGAACAATGTGGTATTGAGTCGGGCTCAGCTGATCGTCCTAATCCCTCTGCTGCTGGCATGTCATGTGCCCTCGCATGAATGGTGCATATTGTCTGGAAATTCTGAGAGATATTCTTTTTATTTACTCTTTATGCATTCAATAATGCAGCAGTCAACAGCAGTTTGTGTTTTTAAACACTTTGTTGATGTTGCCAAGCATGTGCTCATTTCCTGGTCGTTTTTTAACAGATTCTTTTGGCCTTTTCCCAAGTCTAAGTCACATATTTCATGCAAAACGAGAAACAACATGTGCATCATCTGTCTGGCAGGATGTTTCTGGAGATTTGCAGGTTTTCAGAGGTTTGCAGTCCCATTTTCAGCCTGGGGGCGCAAACTTCAACTGTAGTATTGCTGTTAGCAAAGCACAATTTTAAGTCTTTATTCAGTAATGTGGAGTTTTATCATTTAAAGCATGCTTGAAAACATCACCAGTAACTCTGCTTCCTGACTCTAGTGACGAGTGTCATTGAGGGATTTCTTTTTCACGGCCGCCACTAACCACTGTTGTCAAAGCAACATTTTTATCCGGTGATGACTTCCTCCTGAAATAAGACCTGAATAGCCAGGTGAGAAGTGGGAGCCTCTTTCTGTGAGATTATGCCGGTGGTGCAGGGAGAGTGGAGCGAAGCAGAGAGGCCTGGAGAGGAGCCATAATTACAGACTGAGGCAGGAATGCCAACCAGCCAGCCATTAGGTTGGTCTGAGTGGGCCGGGACGCACATGCATACCACACGGGCCTGTGAAAAATAACCTCCTCCAGACGCTCCGACTGCCTGTTTGTCCAGTGTGTGCTGCAGCAGGCATTCGAACACGTGTAAAACACACTCGTGTGAGGAGGTGCGCTCACGACTCCTCAGACGGGCTCCTCAGGTTGAGCTGTCTGCGCCGTCAGTGCCTCGGCTGTGTTGTTAGGTGCCGTTCTGAAAAGAAACATTCCCTGGCCTGCACCGCTACACCGCCTATATTTTTGTGGGATGGTGCCGTTTTGGGATTGTTTCCCAAGTTTCGATGTTAGCGCTCGTTGCTGGCCAAAGGAAATAAATATAATTGGACAGATTGCGTCAACAGGATCTCCTTCCCACTGCTCTGTGACCTTTCACTATGCACCGCTAATTCTGGCTCATCCCATAGGAGCTCCACTGCATAAATATACTGTGCAGGACACACACATGAGGGTTAAAAGCTCACGTTGTGTATCATACAACACAAACCTCCACCAGCTGTCACTTCAGATTTTAGAAGCTTTTAAAGAGCCCAGGATTTCCTCATTAATCTCTAATGTGAAGTATGTAGAGCCTGCAGGACTGGACATGTAGGGGTAGACTGAAAGTTTGACAATAATTTATTAATCATGGTCCTGACCTGTTACATAATATCCTACAATATTTTAAATGCACATGCTGCTTTTTGCATCGTAGATCAAGTATACGTCTGCAGCAATCCAGACGTATACAGGTTTTGATGGAGCGGTGCTACAGGATACTGTTCACAAATGAAACATTTTAAAGTAGACATGCAGTCCATTTTCCCCATTAAGGTCTTGAGGTCTTGATGAAATGTTCCTAACATCTTTTGATCAGTTACCTCGCAAATAATTAGAGGAGAACACCCCATTCTATGTTGTCTTTTTGGCTTTGTTCATAGCAGTGGGAGGACCCAGCCCATAGAACATGTAATTCTACCATGCACCAGCCTAAGCTTGCACTTTTATTTTGATGCTGAACTGGTAAACTTAAAATTCTGAATGGTATCAAACAAAACTCCAGACAAAGTAAATCAGCTTAAGTGGGCTGAACCATAGAAATATACACAAACATAGTGAAATTCCTTTATATGTACAGCAAAACAGCAACATCAGGGCTCCGATATCCCTCAAAAGGAAATATAATTGAATACATATCTTTCCCATCTCAGGTACTGTGTTTGTTATGGTAGTCACGTGACCTTTGGTCAGGTTTAACTTTACAGGCTAAGTTACAAGCATACCAGCTGGAAAGTGAGCCCACGCTTAAACTACCTCATGGTGCTAACATGGTCGTCAGCTCCTTCTAAGAGTTGCAGCCGGGCACTACAGACCTAAAGGAAAATCTAGGTATTATAAAGAATGATGATAATTATGATGCTGTTATGTAATTTGTTATGAGGTATTTGCATTCTGCCTCGTCTCAGCATCTATTTGCCTCTCTCCTACTCACTGTGCTCTCATATACTGTATCTAAATTCAGCTGAGCGCATATTAAAGCTGCTCTGATTCACACATTTTACTGTTTCTGTTGTTGGACAACACTCTGAAATACTGGCTGAGAGGCCATCAGCTGATTATTTGGCAGCAGCAGTCAGCGATTGGCTTTGTATGAAGTGCGTGGCACATCTCCTCATTATGGATACTCAAAATTTGGTAAAACACAAGCCAGGTTTTTTTCCAGTTGCACCAACGTAGACGGTGAACCATAGCTGTATTTGCATCAGAACAAGCCTTGCTCAGAGCGGGAGAGCAAATGTTGGCCTCCGTGTGCAGGTGGTGGCGGACCATTTGGAGTGTGCAGGATATGCTTATTGATTTTCACTTGGATGTTATATGTACAAATAAGCTCTGAGATTTGTGAGCGAAGGGCGAGGCAAAGCCCTGTGGCCGGTGGCAATTTATTAGTATAGTTGTTCAGCAGTCCTCCTATTAATATTATCAACAAAAAGGAAAACGATCTGTTAATCTGTTCATTTTGTGATGCCAAAGGGCTGCGCTGCTGCCCCGTTGAATCCAGTGGTAGGGTCAGTTGTACCTGCTTTTGAGGGTTGTGTCAGTTACGCAGAAACTTCTTGACTTCTGCATCATTTAGGAAATACGTTTCCTCTGACGTCACCCTCTTTCATGCGTAACCACAAAACTCTGCATGAATCGCAATTGTTGGTCTGAATAGGCTTTGTTCTCAAGTCGAGACGGCTTTTGTAACAGAGTGCTCTGTTGTCTTCGTGGCCTTGTAGCGTTGTGTGAAGTGTAAGGTACAGCAGTGTAGTATTTCATCCAAATCCATTCTGGGGCTCTGCTACACCTGAATGATGGACTTTGAGCTCAGTATGTAGTTGTTGACACGGACAATCACAAATTATACATACCACAAAATCCTGCGATAAAGGGAAAAATCCACAAGAAATTCAAAACTCGAAAACAGAAATTAAGCAGGCAAAGTGCAGATATGTCTGCAAGGAAGAAAAGAAAATGAAGAAATGTCGAGGCTCTAAAGGCTGTGCTGCTTTCCTTTATCTCACCTGGAACAGTCAGCCACGGGCGCCTTTTTCTTCTGACAGCCCATCTCAGAGACAAATGCCCATCGGACACCGTCAGATCATATTTTTACAGCGGTTGACTAATTCTGATTACAGCTCACTTTTCATAGACAGACAGCAGCCACAGTTAGCACCACTTCAAAGCAAGAAACACCGAGCAGATCTTTGACAGGACCGACTGCAGACATGTCTGTGACCACAGATGTCCTATTTTATGCAGCTCGGGTCAGAGCTCAGACTCCCAAAGTGGAGGGAAATTTATTTCATGTTCCTTTTTAATGAGTTTTTTTTTTTTGTCTCCTTGATATTCAATCATTCTTGACATTATTATATTTAATACATTTCTGGTGTCTTTAGCTGTGCAGGGATAAATTTAGCCTTGGGTTTGTTGGAAAAACTGATCACAGCTTTTACAATGACAGAGTCCTCAGAGGCGTCCTGACAGTCTTACTGACATTCCCACTAAAATACCCCGACTCCAAACGCATGCTGCAGTAGGGCGTTTATATAAGCTACTTAAACTCGGAGCATGTTAATGTCATCTTGAAGGATTAGATTCTAAATGGGGTTTTCCGTCCCTGCCATAAGCTCCGTGCGGCGTTTGCCTAGCAACACTAGTTTGGTGTTATCTCAAGACGATAAATAGGATCGCAGTGAACGCTCATCAAACATCCGCTGCTTCTCTGCATCCATGTAATGAGCTGCGTGCTGGTGCGGCTTCAGAGCGGAGACAGAACCCGACCGTCTGCTGTTCTGCGAGCTGAGTGACCCAGAGGAGCCTGCGCCCCTCAGCTCAGTCACTTTCAGCCCAGACGATGAGGGTGGAGAGGGCATAGAACACCAGATTATCTCATATCCAACTGGTCAACAACATGCCGTCTGAGAGCTAATCAGTCATTATCCCTAAATACTCTTCGTATCACATCATCAGAAATAGTCAGGGTGTAAAAAAGCACAGTTTTCTCATTCGGTGAATGGGGAGTCTAATTGATTCACAACATGTCCCAAGTGGGAGGCTCATTAAATTTGAGGAGAGGAAACATTTGGCGTGAAAGCTGTCCTTTCTATAACCTAATTAGGTGTTGTTTTTATACATAAATTTGCAGCAAGGAAGCAAAACATCCGGAGCAAGTGTTCCATTTTTATCACATTTTATTTTTCCGGAGCGGAAGTCTGTATTGAGGAGGAGTTGTGTGTGTTTTAGGAAGGCTTTATGTCATACGGGATTTGAATGCTGGTGGGGTCATGACAGTGTGAATTCAGACTGGAGTGGTCTCAGGGGTGATCTCTGCTGTGTGCCGCACAGTGCAGTCTTGTAAGTGGTTCTGGTCATCTGAAGGGAATTGCTTCCTCTTGTCATTCCATGGTTCTGGTCGGGGATTGTTCCGGGGACATTGTAGATATACCAGCACCAGCACCAGTCTGCACCGGCTCCAGCCACGTCTCTTGTTCTTCTTGCCTTGCAACCGGAGGCGTCATTTGCTGATGTCCATTCGACATTTTTTAAAAGTAGAATTCTTAACTTTAGCCATTGATAATGATTCCCTCAACCAAGCACAGAAATAAATGATTGATTTAAAGTTAAAGAAAAACTCTTTGATGGACTTTGATCCTCTAGGATCCTTTTAACTGAAAAAACACACAATATAATAGTATTATTAATAGTACTATGTAGTTATGGCTTCTCCTTCCTCTGTTGGTGTAGGGCTAATTGGAAGTGTGGGCAAACTAAGTTCCATCTAGCGGTAGATAGGGATGGTAAATAGGTGAGACGGGCCGGTAAATGGGTCAGAGCTCAGTGTGATATGGATCATCACTGACTGACACGTCTGAGACCCTACTGGCTGTGTCCCCGCAGCCCTCTAAGCCATATGCGGAGGCCACTGCCAAAAGCGCGTTTGTATTTTTTTCTACCAAACCGCCATCTGCAGCACTAGTGATGAGGTTCAGAAGCCTGAAAGGTGCAACATGTGGCACCCTGCCTCAATCCTGGCCAGCATTTAGCCAAAAACCCCTTTCCGTCCCCAGCACGAGTCCATGTAGGCTTTTTAAACCTCACCACGCTGCCTGGCAGCCTTCTTGAGGCAATCTGGGTCAGGCTCTGTGACTGCTGATTAAAAAAGGGGGTTTGTTTATTTATTTTTTAGCCGTCTATGAGGGGAGGAGCACAGAGATAAGAGGTGGGAGGAGGCGGATCCCACACACAGCATCATCATTAGCCTGTTGCCACAGAAACGGACCGTCGTTGGGCTCTTTTCCTGCTATTTTCCTGCTTTTGACCACTCATCCTTTCTATTGAGTTTTCAGACGTTTACAGTTGACTTTGTTTTTAAACAATCTACCTATCACGTTTGGTAGAACTCTCCGACATACCCTGAACTGCTCATGTGAAAGTTTCTGACAGGTCCTGACCTTGATCGAGGACATGTTGAGGTGAGGCAGATGGAAGCAGCACTCGTGTTTTTACCACAAATCCCTGGCCCCAGTGATTGAGTGGTGTGTAAGAGGTTGCTCTGTTAGCCCCAAGGATTACTCAAAGCATGTTCAGCTCTTAATCCCCATATCAGTGATCCCAGAGTGTGAAGGATAACACGGTCTAATTAAGTGGACTCTGATTATTGGCTGGATAGCCTATGAATAAGCATTTTACTCACTGGTACTTGTTGCTCAAAACAATACATCATTATTGAGTATTTTCCCTCTTCAAACTCGGCACATATAAGAAACACAAAGTTTTAAATGAAACTCCTAATTATTTTGTGGATGACACTGTTGGGCCACGCAGCATATCAACAAGATTTAATGACATATTGACATATTCTGTTCTCCGAAATTAGATTGCAAGTTTTTATTCACTGAGTTTTTTTAAAATTGATTTTTAATGAACATTCAAAGATTTACCGATACTATTATTCACTGAATCAACTATTTTTTGCATAATTATGCACAATTTTGTCTTATTTCAAACTGATCGAAATAAGAGGACAGGATTTTGATCATTGCTCATTAGCGCAAACTGAAGTCTATTTTATTACTGCTATTATTTTTATTCAGAAATCAGTTATCACTCGACCTAGTCTGTTTGTTTCCTCCCAACACCTTCCTCATCCCATCTTCAACACTGATTGCTCTTGATGTCTTCCTCCTCAGGAAGTCACACAATTTTTGCTCATTTTCATCAGTGCCAGAGCTGATGTAACACAATCAGTCGCACATTATATGCCCACTTTCCTCATGCTCCCGTTGGAGGGTAAAAACGGGCTGCTGGCAGCCCTATCCTGATGATTGGGCCAAACCACCTGCAGGAGAGGCCATTAGCAGCTGCTGTCAAACAGTCCCGGACCCTCTCCCTGCTCCTCGTCCTCAATGGAACAGCTGCAGCTCTCCAGCAGAGAGCGTCTCTGCACTGGTCTTTTGCCCCTTGGCCTGCATCCTACCAGACCTGCTGCCCAACAATGAAGGCTGTGTGCAGCCTCGTCTCAGCTCCGACATCTGAGGCCGGCCACAGTTTACTACGTGGCAGGGCTTTGCTTTGCTCCCGCGCACCATCCATCCGTTGTTTTCTTCCTCTGTTTCTTTGTGTGTCTCCTCCTCTCCCGACCCATAGCTCACTGAGCTGGATGTCCGAGCAACACCTCTGATCTTGCAGCATCACATCATTACCCTGCTTGGAAACATGCCTGTTTGCATAACACCGTGGCACGGAAAGGCTCCCATTATGGTCAGAACAGTAAGCAACACTTCCAGGCTAATATTATTTGAAGATTGCTAGCCTTGCAGGGAAAAGAGCCGGCAGCGTCTCACTGACAGGCCCACCTAATGATAGTTGTTACTTTAATTAGAAGTGTGGCTTTAAATCCCTGAGAGAAAAACGAATTAACTTAAGTCAGCGCCATCTAATACTGGTTCCATTTGTATGATGAGAGCCCCTCCTGCTTCCTGTTACTAGTGACAAGGCTAATAGGGCTCAGAGATTAGGTTATTGCATGTCAGGTTAAAGTACCTGAATGCATTCACTTGCCGGATGGAAAAAGAAAGTGATTACAATGAGACTGTAATGCCAGAAATCCCTGTTTCATCATAGTGGTCTGACATGGAAAGCTGCTCACCGACCACTACATTACATACCAAAGTCATTTCCTATGTTGTTTCTCGGCTTGTAGTTGTTCAACTATAGTTTAAAACTAATGAATACATTTTTATGATGTTTTGATACAATGTGATGTGTTCATTAGTAACCTTATCCAACCATGCATTTGCGTAACGTTTTCCTCCAGCAGGCGTGTCCATTTAGACTAATTACAGTCCAGTTCTTTAAATGAAAATTTCCCTCACATCTCATTTATTGTCTTGCCCTTAACAAGGCGCTTATTCATCTTTACACAGATGCACGCAGAATCCAAAGATGCTGAAAGTGCGTGCTCTTCCCCTAAAACGAAAAGAGAATGGCCTCAATTTATGTATTATATAATGTGCAGGGGCCAGTCGGATCTGGATTTTTAGATTATAAAAGCATTTATATCATAGCAGCGCTTCACTATTGCTGGTCTGTCTTGCATGGCCGTCCATAAAACCTTTGTCTTTTTCCATCCCGCCGTAGAGCGTTTTACTCTACATCTGAAGGATTGCGGCCGGTCAGCCATCCCAGACCCTGAATTATAAAATGGGACAGAGATTCATTTGGCACAGAAAGTCCTTTTTTTTAGCTCTAAAATGCAACAGCTGGAATTTATACAATAACAGTATACGTAGTGTGCCTGGAAGTGAGGATTATTGTCGGTGTCAGCAGAGGTTCTCAGTCTGTTTGACCAGTATCTGATGGGCAGCAGCGTTAAAAGCCATCTGTGTGATCCTGTGTCAGTCCCCCTTCACGCGGCCAGAACAGTTCTGGCTTGTTGGAGCATGAAAGTGGGCTCCATGAGAGTCCTGTGCTGTGCGTCAGCAGAATGCTAGCAGTGGATCCTTTGATTCCTGACATTTTGGGGATAAAAGACAGGAGATGCTGGTGCTTGTCAAAACCAGTGGTGTGTTTTATGTCAAACCTCTTGAGGAAATAGAGTATTAAGTTGCCACTGTGCAACTGCACGTACAGTAAGCTCTGTGAAAGCCAAGTGGTTATGTAAAAAGGGGCAGACTAGTGGATAGGCCTCTGATATAAGGCTGTAAAACCTTTATAGAAAAAAACCTATTTACATTTTTCCATTGCAGGTGTGAAGGCACTCAGAGGTCATCTTAGCATGACAGGGTGTTGAGGCAAATGACCGGCTGAAAAGCCAAGCAGAGGCTGGACGGTGCTCTGTAGTAACCCCCACTGTTCATCCTCTGGGTCAAAAGGCTAATAGCATTAACTGTGTCCTCAGGCCAGAGTCTCTGTACAGCAAACGGACGGCACCAGTGAAACCGCTTAAACGCATGTCAGCTTTAATTCAAATGAAGCTGGAGAGGAAGAAAGGGGGCGTTTTCATTTTACATCATAGGTTCCCGCCTGCAGGGAGCCGGTTTGAAATTTGGAAAGCTTTAACGGAAGCGAAAGTTAAAGCGGGATGATCCTGATGTAATGGCATTTGAATGTTAGATGAGAGCCTACTTTAAGCTTTGGCCTGTTTTTTAGGTCACAACTGTTTAGAGTCGATGGGGTGACTTAACACAACTGACCAACAAGCCGCTGCTTCAGTTTGGGGGCTTTTCATTTTTCCACACGTTGATCAGAGGAATTAAGAGATGAACGCCAAAAGGCGGACGGTGCACCTTTTCTAAAGTTCGGCTCACATTTATCGTGTTCAGAGGACAGAAGCTGCCGGAAGGACATTTAAATGTTCACTCAGGGGAGAATGATGTGTTTGACGTCGGTGACGTTGAGTCTAAAAGCCACTCAGGTAGGTCAGGGCTTGGCCTCCCACGGGGAAAGCGGCTCTCTAATGCCGTGAGTACTTATGGATCACAGAAAATATAGTGGCCTTAATCTCTTCTGTACTTCATCAAAATAGATTTTGCCTCAGAAGAATCTGTGGTATGACTTTTACCTGCTCCAATCCTGTCAGCAGCCGAGTTTACACAACACCTTTTTGTTTGTCATCTCTCCTTCTGGCTTTTGTGTCATCCTCGGTATGTAGAGATTTTGCACGTCTTTGATCTCCGCTAAAGCATTCCTCCTCTCGTTATGAGCACAATTCCTGTCCACCAGTTCGGCAGCATAGGTAAATCATTACTCTGATCAGAGCTGCTAGCCTCCTGTAGGTTCAGTTTTTTCTTTCGTCTTCAACAGCTTGGAAATGCAGTAAAATGAGGACCTTAAAACAGGTGACGTGCATATGAAAACCACAGACCAGCGAGAAGCATGAAATCACCGTTAGGTCGCAGAAAAATAATCAATCTGCATGAAGGCTCACAGTAAATTCTCACACATCTTAACAGAGTGAGGAAGTGACATCTGCAGATTGTATCTGGTAGCCTGGCCGTCAAACTCTATCCCTCTAAACCCGTCAACATCACACCCTTTAGCCCACGGATTATTTGCTTCATATTTGCCATATTTGGTCATGAATGAGAATTTCTTACTGCTTAGAGGTAGTCAGTGGTCAGGCATGGTGAGCTTTAAACTCAAAGTCACAGTATCGCAGCCACCCAAAGTAAGCAATAGTATTTTTCCCCATTAGCCCGTCAGTTCTGATGTTAAATAACGCCTTTTAGCGTGCACACAAATCCACATCTGAGTCAGAACTGTTCGTTTGAAAAAGTACCTGATGATGACTTCATTGGATAAATGTAGTTAAACAGGTTCAAATGTAGTTAAACATGTGTAACCTGATAACTGAACTAACCAGTTTCTCAGCTACCACATTACAGAACTGAAAGGAACCCTGTTTGCTTAAGTCCAGAATTCCAGTGTTTCCCACCATCTCATAACAGGTCAAAGCTCCAAGGCCCTCCCCACATTCAAGCCGTGACACTTTTTTTGTGTCGGTTTGTCTTTGTTTTTGTTGTTTCCTGCCGACCTGAACTTAGTTTTTGCTGCTTTCACGACAGACTCCTCTGCTCCAGGCATGAAAACGTACACTCTCAAATCACGGGCCTGTAAAAAAGCAAATCGCTGACGGAGGTTGTTTTTGTTTCTTTAAACGGCCATAACAACTGACTTACTGCACTACCCGTGGTTGTCTCCCCACGCAGTTCAGTCAGTGCGTTGCTGCTCCTCCCTCATGATCAACTACTAACACATGTTTAATATAGTAAATGTAATTTAAAATGGAAACCCCGGCTACATCTTACAGAGGTACGAGCGTCAGAGTAATCCTGATCAAAGTGGAACATCTTGCTGGGGAAGATTTCGATCTGTTTCTGGTCCAAGATCAGATTGACTAAGTGGAGATGAAATCTTTTGCCTTAAAAACTTCACTATCAGCAACATGATACAGAGAGCTTTTCAAACCAGATCAGATCAAAGAGAGCTTTCACCCCGCTGGACTGGTTTGAGAAACCGTGACTAAAGCTGCAAAAGGTTGGTCCGACAATTATGTAGAAAATGTTTTTCTGCAATCCGTTCAGTGTCATTCTAAAGTCCAGAATAAAAAGAAAAAAGCAGAATAAAGAGTTGACGTGCCTTTTTAAGGAAATACCTGCGCTCTGCTTTTGGAGCCAGGCACGCTGCACAGGAACACACATCCCAGACAAACTGGAAAACAATCTGCAGTTACTGTAAACATGGCCGGACTGTTCCTGCCCGGCAGAGGAAGCCGCATAGTCCTGAAAGGTGTGGCGTGGGACTACTCTGAATTGCTTTTGTAACTGCATCGCCGTGTACTTTTTTTGCAGCCGACGTTGCAGAAAACGGCCGCCCCTCGCCCCGGCGCCTCGGGCCCCTTAGCGGCCTTCTCGATCTGATGTATGACAAAGGCGGAGGAGAGGGCTCTGTTTAAAAGCTCTTTAAATCTCACCGTCTTTAAACTTTATAGTCACATTTAATGGAACTTGTGCCTGCTTTATGCAGTCCTTCTGACCCAGACACTCCACCCGCCCTCCAGCTCGCTATTGATCGGGCAACATAAACTCAGGTCTCAGGCCCCAGAGATGCCACGCTGACACGCCGGCTCTCAGCTTTATCTACGGTAATCATTCAGCTCACTCCCCCTTGTGAAAGTGGCACAGGCTGCTGTCTGGCCCTCCACATTGTACCGTCCCTCTGCTCTTACTTAGCTCAGAGGATTACTGAGCCAACTTAAGCGGGATTACCAGAGGACAAGGAGGAACTCCCCGTGTACAGTGAGAGCAGGGACATGAAATAAAGAGCACGTCTCCTTCGCCTTTTGGCTCATCGCTTCAACCTCCCAGGCCTGCATTAAGGCGCCAAACTTTGAGATTGCTGGCTTTTTTGATGCGCCTCTCTTGGCTTTGCGAGGGCCTGCGCACACACAGAAAAATCCCAGGAGTGATCCCATAAAGAGCACAGCCCAGCCTGGCACAGTTATCTCACAGCTCAGACCTGTTTTACCAAAATCGTTCAGCTCGTCAGTAAGACGGGGGTGGGGGGGCATTCATGTGGCTGCATGCCCATATGGAAACGCTGTGCATTATCACGATGTTACAGAGTTAAGTTACAAGACCTTCTTTGAGCCATGATTGCACATCCTCAGGTGTTCTGTAAGGAAACCGGTAAGCGTTTTCGTGTCTAACATTCCCTCTAAATGACCAAATCAGCTGCAGTGCATGGAGGCTGCCAAGCGTCTGGTGGGGGAAAGCCTCATGGAGAGTGGCTCTCCAGCCATTTCTGTTGGTTTCTAAGTAAATTAGAGTGAGACAAAAACACTCGGTCCAAGCTTTGTTATTGAATTATAGCCGACATCCTCCTCTGAGAGCACAATTCGCAGTGTGCTAAAAGGCTTTAGCGAGGTACAGCATCAACAAATTAGTTTGTTTTGTACTTATCTTGTAACAGGAACGCTGGAAAGGAAAGGGGACTTAAAGGATGTTTGGAAAATTAGTATTACAAAGATTACACCCGGCTCTAGCTGTGCATTGCCCCTCTTGCAGATTTAATGTATTTAATCTAGCTTTTCTTCTTTCCTGCCTAATCCTAAGGTGGAAAACATGAAATGCGTCCCCCTCAAGAGCTGGCAAAGGCTCAGTTGCCTGCTTATCTTTGACCTGAGGGGAAAGGTTTTTGAAAAAAATACGAGAAAGTAAACATGCCACCTGCTTGTGACATATTGTGGAGTTCTTAGAGTTGGAACCTTTGGTTTCAAAGTTGACAGACAGACACATCGTTCAGCTTTTGAGGTTTTCTCACCAGTGGCTAGTTGTGCTGTTCCTTATTTGGGGCCAGTGCTCATCAAAATCCTATTGAAAAAAATTATTCAAGTAATCAAATATAATAAAGTAGTTATTTTAAAAAAAAATCATGAGTGAATGTGAATCGGATGCAGTGTTTTTCACAGAGGCTTGAAGAAAGTATTTGACTGCATTTCCCGTCTCCTGAAGTCAGACAAAGTTTGGGTGGCTGCAGTAGGATGGTGCACCCGTGGGTGCCACGAGCCAGTGACGCACATCTGCATTCATTCTTCCCATCATCCCACATTTAGTTTGCATGTCATTTGTGGTGCCGTCTGACTGTAAGTGAAAGTGCGGTCTGACAAACATCGATACTACCAAGATTATCATCAAGAAAACAGCCGTTGCAGTTTTTGTTGGGAACAGCCTTCAGTTGACACATTTCCCCTCAACAGTTGCAGAATTGTGAGCAAGCTGGGCCTTCACCTCTCGGAGGGAGATTTCACAAACTGAATATCCTCTCTGAGGTTTCCTGTGGTGAAACCAGTTGTGATGTTGTTGCCATGAGCTGACAACACTCAGTTTCTAAGGAAACTGAGGGCACAGGCCTCATTTGCAACACCACATGCAAATGTAGAACTCACACAGCCTCTTTTTTTTCTCTCCTGAAAGTGCACCGATGATAAGATAAAGACTTTTTAACCACAACACCTTCCTGCACATCTATGTCATTACTGAGGTTTTTTTTGTGTGAATTTAAGGCCTTTTGTTTTAATGCATACAGCAGAGGAAATAAAGTTTTCTGCCTTTTTTTCATGTGAGAAAATCTCAGAAGTTATCTGAGGACAGAGGTTACAGCCCGTCATGCTCGGGCGCCCCTTGGAAGAGTCTGTATCTCTGCTCATTTCCTCGCTGGTCTTAATGTCAACCGCAAGCCTTTTTCAGTTGCACGTCTATGAGAAACAGCCTGTTCCCATCTCAACATGAAAGGCTTTCTTTTGTTTCCCACCCTATCCGTTATCTTAAAAAAGCCTGTTTCTAACACATTTGAGGTACTTAGCCCCACCCCACAAATCTCTGAGTCATTTCCGTTATGTGAATAATAAACTCTGATCTGAAGGGGGAGCTTCGTTTATATGACTGCTCCGACTCCCTTCCTATGTGGGTGGTCAAGACAGGAAGCAGACCATGAATTAACTTGCGGCACCAGCAGAGAGGCACAGAGCTTAGTCACAGTTTCCATGCTTCATTAACTGCCTGCTCCCGGCATCTGAGCATCTATCAGGAGATCCTGGTAGCCATGTTCAGATGTTCAGGTCAGCCCAAAGCCAATCCAAAGAGGTCTCTGACGCGGCACGGGGGACGGGAGGGGGGAGGGTTGAAAACAGACTAAGTACAGATTTTTTTTTCTGTGTGTAATTTGAATCTGGGCAGCAGTAGCCTGACCTGTATTCTGATCAGGTTTGACAGCACTTCATACGATGAGGCCCTCAACAGACAGCCCTGACAATGCGACACTTCAGAGGAGCCACAGTCGGGAAGAAATTTGCCTCCCAAATGAGCTCTTAGTCTTCATAATTTGCCTGCAGGCTGAGTTGCAGGGCCAGATACCTGCCCCCCACCGACAGCTCTCTAATTAGGACTTTTGATCAAGCTCCACAGCTACCGACGGTAGCAAAAGGACTGCTCTATGTTAGGTGTCCTCCTCTGGCTTCAAGGTGTTTATCTGTTCATTCAGGGAAGAGAAGAGGGGAGGGGGGGGCTCTATGAAATGGGTTCGGCCTGGTGGGTGAGCGTGGTGCTCAGTAGTTCGGGGCTCTTTATCGTGGTCCTGGATTCACTCCTGAGGCACATTTGGGATGTGCCAGCATGATTTATCCAGTCAGAGGAGGCTGCTGCCAGGAGGACGTGTTGTTTCCATGGGTGGTCCACGCTATCAGCCACAATGCTTTCCAGTTGGGATGGCTCCAAGTTGCATCCACATGGGTTTCCTAAAAGAATGTTGCATTGTAGCTATCAACGCTGTTTAGTTACAGCTTTTTTGTTTAAGGTTGTGTTCAGTGTATGAGACACAAACAGTACATTATAGAAACCTAATCTCACTTTAGTCATTTTGGGGCATGTTTTTGTCAGCGAACGTACAGCAGAAAATTTCAGCGGAATAAAAACGAGCCGCGCTTTAACGTGGATGCATGTCTCTGTGCAGGAATCCTCTTCTCTACCCTGGTGTTCGGGCCCGCCTGTGGCTTCATCCTCGGCTCCGTTTGCACCAAATTCTACGTGGACGCCATCTTCATTGAATCAAGTGAGTTCAGTATCCCCACAGCTGTACACGGTTCAAGTTTGAGTGCTTCTCGTTGGCTCCAGATCACTGACCCGTGTTGTGTCTGTAAAGGTAAACTGGGCATCACTCCAGATGACCCGCGGTGGATCGGGGCCTGGTGGGCCGGCTTCCTGCTGTGTGGTGCCTTACTCTTTTGCTCAGCAGTCTTGATGTTCGGCTTCCCGCAGTCCCTGCCGAGCAAGGAGCGAGACGAGGGAACGGAGAGTGAGCAGGTTATGCTCCCCCCCTCCCTTAGCTCAGAGTTTGAGACTCCAAAGCCCACTAATGGAGTCGTTGTCAGCCATGAGCCGGCAAACAGCCCCACCTGCTGTCAGCAGCTGAGAGGTGAGAGCTCTACTTCCACCACAGCTATGGGAGAGCAGGCTTCTTTTAATGGTTTATTTACAAAGTTACATTAAACAAAAGTAAAGAAACACTAATTTATGTGCAAGAATGTATTCTATCAATATTTTTCTAAATAAAAAATTGTTCTTTAGAGCTACGATCACCATAGAAACATGTGTCCAGTCAGTGGAATTAGCTAATCTACGTCGAAGTAAATGTTAGTGCCATCAAAGCTTTATATTTCAGGCGTACGACTAGCTTAATACATCTTTATTAATAATTGTTACCATCATTAACTGAGAGTAGGACTGGAGAGGAGAGACAACAAACTCCACAAACTCCTTCTGTCCTGCTGCCCGGTTGGGCTGGACAGTGATGCTCACCCTCCCTCCTTCCTGTGTCATCAGTGATCCCTAAAGTGACCAAGCACCTGCTGTCCAACCCCGTGTTCACCTGCATCATCCTGGCGGCCTGCATGGAGATCGCCGTGGTGGCCGGCTTCGCAGCCTTCTTGGGGAAATATCTGGAGCAGCAGTTCAACCTCACCACCTCCTCCGCCAACCAGCTGCTGGGTAAGTTTTCCAGAACAAACCTCCGCTCCCAGGGGTCTGCGCCTGTGTAATTAACATGTGACTCCTCGGTGCAGGTATGACGGCCATCCCCTGCGCCTGTCTGGGGATCTTCATGGGCGGCCTGCTGGTGAAGAAACTGAACCTGTCGGCGCTGGGGGCCATCCGCATGGCCATGCTGGTCAACCTGATCTCCACCGCCTGCTACATCTCCTTCCTGTTCCTGGGCTGTGACACGGGTCCTGTGGCAGGAGTCACCGTCAGATACGGCAATGAGTAAGAGAGAAACTCAGCATCTGTATTTGCAGATACCTACACAAACACTGTTTTGTAGTTCCTAACTGACTCGTGTGCAGTTTCAGAAGAACAGAAACATTTGATGAACTAAATGGATTACACATGACTATGACTGATGACTCTCTCAGTGTGTTTCTACGCTTTGGATTTGCTTCACAGTGGAAACAATCGTCTAATGAATTCGCTCATTAGGAGCAATTGACACTGAAGCAGTGGCAATAAAAATGACTGCCAAGGTCAAAGCACTTCTGCAGAAGTGACCTGCATACAGTCTGAATTTTTAAAAGTAAATCAGACGACCTCTGTTCTCTGGGGCACATCCGACTTTCTCTATATTCAAATTACTCTGTGCCATATCAGTGATCCTATAAAAAGGTGTTCTATTCGCGGCAGCTCTGTGGTCCTGAGGGCCTCGTGGACTGAATGTGAAGGCTTCACTGAGTCAGACACCAGTCCAAGAAAACGGCTAAACGTTCCCCAGCAGAGCGTGTCACTGACTTTCAAACAGATCAACGGGGCAGGTGTTACTTTGTTTTTAGAAACGCTTCCTACTTATGCCATATTTAATCAGTTTTGGCCTATTCTTTATTCTTGTGAAATATTTTAATATACAAGAAACAGTGATGACGTGATCTATTCTGAAATATGATCAGTGGATTCCTCCATAATGAAGAACACAACAGCCTTAATTACAAATGTAGATTTAATGGAGAACATATGAGTCTGTCAGACGTGTTTGCTGTTTTCATCACACTGATGTGTTACATGAGTGGTTTACTATACTTGATAGTGGATCAATTGATTCAGCGGAGGCAGACGCACAATAAACTGTGTGTTCGTGTCTGTTTTGGAGCAGAGGTTCTCCACCAGAAGGGTACAGAATATTTCTCTCTACCGAAAGGGTGATGAGGGAATCCAGTGGCCCTCTATAAATACTAACTTTCGGTCTTAATCATTTGGTACCTTTAACTCAATCGTCTCCAGGGCAGGTTGGCTGCGCAGGGCTGTTTCCATGGCGATATCGAGTACGAACCAGAAATCCTCTCATAAAGGCAAAGGACGGGCCTTTGTGTTCTTTATTTATTTTGTGGTAGGAGTGTGTTTGTTTTAGAACTCAGCCCTGCCGCTCTTCTGCTCAGGACGCTCCGGGTGGGAGAGAAGCCCCAGGCTCAGTGCATCAGTCACTGCGACTGCTTCACCTCCTCCATCAGCCCCGTCTGCGGCTCCAACGGCGTCACCTACCTGTCCTCCTGCTTTGCCGGCTGCACCCGGACAGGAGTCTCTCCCACCGTGTCCAACATCTCCCAGGTCTGTCCCTTTCTGTTGATGACTAGCACCGTGTGTTCCGCCCTATAAGGCGCATAGAACAGAAGCTCCAGGAGTGGCTGGGGCTGCGTTCTGCATCCACTAGATGCAGCTGCGCCAAAGAGAATGGCAACAAGGCAGTCAGATAAGTCAGTCAGACTTTATCGATAAAATACAAACCAGCGTTCTGACAATGCTGTTTTATCATTTTTCCCGAGGTAATGTCAGTGACGTAGTGTTTTTGCAACAGGGTTGATCTTTTAACAACAACTATGTATAATAGGTAGTGAACTTTTATCACGTAGTGGAGGGGAACTTTTCAGTAAACACGTAAGAGAAACAGTCTGATACCATTACAGTATTACGGTATCTCAGACCTGCTTCCTGTAGTTGCAAGGCCTGTTCCGGCTCAATCTTGATCCATATATAAGGCACACTGCCGGTTTTTGAGAAAATTGAAGGTTTTTAAGTGCGCCTTATAGTGCAGAAAATACGGTAATTATATGAGTTAATAATTGTAATGAGTTACAATTCAAACTTTCCTTTGCATTTTGCAGTGTAGTTGCTGTACTTTACAGTTGGGCCATCAACAAGCCTAAGCCAGACAATAAAGCCTCTGTGTCTTTGTTAAAAGATCGTGTGCTGGCTGAGATTAAATCCTCTCGTACTCTCTTACACTTAGAGGGAATTGCTCTCAGCTCAGTTTCTCATTTTCCCTGCTGACTCACAGCCACGGCTCTCATTTTCCACAGCAGATACTCGCTGCAGTAACTGAGCTTAACATAATCTAATCTGTTTTGTTCACAGAACCTGACCGGATGCACTTGTGTATCGGCTGAAAGCGGGCTGGGCTCTGCAGTTCCGGGGAAATGTCCCATGCCGGGCTGCCAGGAGTCTTTCCTCATCTTCCTGTGTGTGATTTGTGTCTGCAGCCTGGTGGGAGCCATGGCCCAGACTCCCTCTGTCATCGTCCTTATCAGGTATTGTTGTGGGGTTTTTTTTTGTTTGTTAATTTTTATTATCAAAGATTCAACATTTTGCATTTTGGACTTTTTTTTAAAAATGTGTTTGTTTTCTCTTGAAGGACCGTGAGTCCTGAACTGAAATCATACGCTCTTGGAGTTCTCTTCCTTTTGCTCAGACTTCTTGGTAAGATTTTAATTTTTTTTTTTATTAGATAGCAAAATGATTTCAGAAGCCATTTCCCACACAAAGTTCCTGCTAAGAAAAGAGCTGAAGTTATGAAGTTATTTTTGTAATTATCTTTATTTCCTCGCGTATAACAAATGAGGCTAATCATTCTACACCAAACCAAACGATGCCACTGTAAACTATGTGCTGAGAAAAGCTTCCGGCATGCTGTGTGATGTAATATTCCCGATCCTATCCGCTTTTCCGAAGTGTCCGAAACAGTTCTGTTTGGACTTCATGTGGCGTTTCTGTTTCCCCAGGCTTTATCCCTCCTCCGCTGATCTTCGGTGCGGGGATCGACTCCACTTGCCTTTTCTGGAGCTCAGACTGTGGCGAAAAGGGCGCCTGCCTGCTGTACGACAACGTGGCCTACAGGCACCTCTACGTCAGCCTCGCCATCGGCCTCAAGGGCGTGGCCTTCCTCCTCTACTCCACCACCTGGTACTGCTTGCGCAGGAACTACAAGAAATACATCAAAACTCACGAGGGCCACATGACCGCCACTGAATTCTACCCCTCCCTCAGCGACGGCCCCAAACTGGCCGACAGGACAAAATTTATATATAACCTGGAGCACCAAGAGTTCTGCGAGAACATGGAGTCGGTCTTATAAGGCCCACGTGGACGCCCGCGTTCTCTCTGAGGAACTTTAACCCCTCCTCTTCTTTCTGAAAGAGCAGAGGTCCGCTGAGGCCGCAGGAGACACGGCCTGCTGGGCGCTCCAGGCTTTTTCCAAAGGGTCCATTCTAGTCGTTCTTCAGTGGGGTGTCGTCCAGTGCAATGCCAGTGGTGAATTCCTGTGTTGGCGTGCCAGTAGATGACCACCACAGTCCAGCGTGGCTCAGCCCTGGCCGCTCACCACGCTGCCAAACTGTTTTAGGCCCGTCCGGACTCTGTGTGAACAGTGTAGGGGTTCCTGTCCTTCAACACTGTGCGTTCTCTGTCTGTGCATCTCAACAGAAAAAAACAACACTTTAATGGTATAAAACAAAAGCTTCCGAGTGATTTTCAGTTGTTGCCAAGTGTTTACAAACTTGTAGTCGATCAGCCACTGTTTTATTTCCATGCAGGAAGGTTTCTTATAACATGAGACCAGAAGCACCCGGACAGGGTTATAATAGTGGCCTATTAGATGTTTGTTTTTCTTTTTTTTGTTTTTCTTTTTTTTGTTCTCTTGCTGGATCGTAGACACTGTTTTTGATACTTGCTTAGACTAGACTGTGGAGTCTTGTCTCATAGATGGAAACGTGCAATTCATATCTGAAATGTCAAAGTTTATGAATAGATATGTGTCAGACTGCAGGTTTATTTTTCACTGTAGCAATTTGTTTTGTTTTTTCCACATTTGTTCCTGCAGAGTGTATTCAGCCTAATATGTCTTAATAAGGGATTAATTTAATAAGAATGTATCTTTCTATTAGCTTCTGCACAGATTGGAGGAGTGAGGAGGAAAATGAAAAGCAGAAGAAGAGTTTTCAGAGCTCCTGTTAATGGGATTAGCAGTGATACGTTTGGTTGATTAGGCCCAGGCTGTTTTATTAGATTGTGCTTTAAATTACTCTAAGTTATCTTTGATCTAATTGTCTGGGATTTTTATGTGTGCGACTGATGTAGCAGAAGTGATCTCCATATTGTGGAACTTGGTATGTTACATCATTTTGGGATGCAAAAACAAAGCCTGTCACCAGTCTAGCTCCGTAATAATTGACGTAAATGAAAACAAAGCGGGAGATTATGTGTGCAAAATAAAGAGCACTGGGCTGATTCCTGTATTTGAAAACACATCACGTTCCTCTACTGGTTTCTCTGCAGTCACAGTTTTGACATCCCTTTTCTTACACTTTTTGTATGGCAGCATATTGTTTATTTTATTCTGGAAATAAATTATTTTTCAGAAAATTATTTGAAAGTTGCAAGTTTTTGTCATTTTTGGTGAGTTCACACCTCTCATTGTAGAGAGAGATGATGTTTTTGACTCGTTTTTCCACATTTTCTTGGGATACGACATATCAATGAATGACAATCAGAAGTGAACCACTCACTTCTTATTCCCAAGAGGAATCTGATCCAAAAGAAAAAAAACACACCTACATTTTCTATTTTATTCCAACTTCTGTATGTTTCAGGTGGTGGAAAAATAGATAGTGATGGTAAATAGCCCTCAGACTCTTTCATGTGTGTGCAGGTTGTGTGGTAAACCTTTCTGAAATTACTTCAGCGTTCTCATTCAAGTTGAAGCGTTACTAAGATAAAGGCTCTTGCTCGCTGGTTTATATTCACAGATAAGTACCGAGTGCGAGAAATGAATGGGCCGTTTTAGTTCCTCCGAGATCTCCCATAATTTGATTTGAGCAGGAAATGTGAATTTTCTCATAAATGTTCTGACTTCCATTCGAAAGGTGACGAGTCGAGATGTTTTAAAGGGCACCGTTAAGCAGGTAGAGATGTATTATGTATCTGTGGAGACCTTTATTTGAAGGTGGGTGATGTTTCATCCTATTTTGAGGAAGCAGCAGCTTTTAAAGTAGGTCAGGATGAGTCTTAATATTGGGGTATAGCGTTGAGGTGTTCTGGAAGACGCTGCAGAGAGGAGATGGACAGTTTTTGACTGAAAATAAGCTCAGTGGGCTTTACCGTCTAAAAAGTGGATCAAAGGGAATATGAGTATAACTTTGATCTTTTCATCTTGTTTTTGATTGAGTGGAATTAGATAAAACCAAGAAACTGGAATGAAATTAAATAAAAAGAACGATCAAGCCAATCACCACTGTATGAAAAGGCCCTTCACACCAGAAAGGAACCAGAATTATTTCTACACATAAAACAACTTAACAAAATAAACTATTGTACAATGCCTTTAATCCTATTAATCCTATCAGCCTGTTGTTACTATTTCTTAAATTGCACCTGCAAAAAATGCCAGATAACAGTTTGAACAACGTATAATAGTGATTTCTTTTAACAACCTACTAAAATGATAGAATATGATCTTTAGTCTAATTCTGGTATATTGTGGGGCGTAAAACTCAGTTGGCTGAGATTTAAAACATGACACAAGAACTAGACTGAGCGTCAGTGGCAAAGGGTTAACGGACAAAACAATCCCACCCACAACTGGAGTGCTGTGGGAGCACCTTGACAAAGAACAAGGCTGAAGAAGAGCTTTGGAAAGCCTCACAAGAAGCCTGGAGAGTTAATCCTACAAACTACTTTGAAAAAAATACAATAAAGTTTGTCTGAGAGGATTCAGTTTGTTTTACAGAAACAATAAAGGCAATCATATCAACTATTGATTCTCGCTCTTATTAGAATTCTACAGACTCCATTTTGACAGCATTTCCATCTATGTTTTTATGTGCCTATTTTGTGTTGCAAGACTTATTCTAATTTGATATAAGTCCGATAAAAGGGTTTCTATTTTCCATTTTTTTCAGTAAAAAGCGGGAGATGTCTGAGACAATAAAAGGTTGGATGTAGGAAGCATTTTTTATCTATCATTATACTTCATGTATTCCATTGATTCCTCTTCTAATCCTCAGGCCAAGCCCTTTCTCAAAAATCACTCTAATTACATGGAAATGCATGACTGATAAGCCTCTGACTCTTTTTATCCCCCGTAATTACAAGGCTGAAATGTCTGGGGATGGGGTTCATGAGCAGATATCATTAAGCAGTAAACAAAAAAAAACAAAAAAACAATGATAAGGGTCACTTTTCTTCAATCCCATTCTGAGCACACCTCCAGACTTAAACAGACCAACACACCTGCACACAACCAATTACAGCCTGACCATGAGTCAAAGGACGCTGTGGTGCAGCTCGCCCTGCCGGCACGCCGGCGCTCTGGCCCTGTTTACGTGCGCAGCATCTGAACCTCGTTTGGGGATCCTTGAGCTTGAATTTTTCAAACGCGTGAGCCAAAAGCCCCCCCCGTTGTTGTTGATGTCTGCAAAGGCAGCGCAAGCATTTGTGGGGATATCTGATTTTGTTGCAAAGGCGTTCAGCAAAATCAAACCACTGTAGTTTTTGCTTTGTGCGGTTCACGCTCTGAAGTCCACACAAAAGCAGCCACTCACCAACGTAACGTGTCATAATCACTGGCTGTCTTTCAGAGCCCTGGAAACAAAGAGCGGAGCGTTTCTGTTTGTGCCTGTGTCGTCCTCCTTGGTGGCCGTAAATTCTAATAATAGCCCGATGAAGCACAACAACTAAATAAGGCCTCGTGCCTGGCGACGGTGTTCGTTAAACGACGCTGTCTTCACACCGGTGCAGCCACAGGTCAATCACAGCAAACAAGAATCGAATCCAGCAATCCGCACAGAAGCAGCCGCAGCCCGGAGTTTTTCTCTTTTAATGGAGGGCTGTCAATTAGCCTAATGGGTTCTTTAGTGAGACAAACTGTTACACAACCAGCCCGGCCGAGGAAAACAAAGCAGTAAATCCTCACCGGGCCCGCTCTGACTTCTGCCGTCTCCACGGCCGTTGTTCACAGTGGATGTTTCAGGGCCGCCTAATCGCTTTTACCTGCACAGAACCTCTGGACACCTGCTTTCCCACCCAGCGATCTGAGATAAGAGGACGCGCGATGCATATTCAGACAATATGTTTAGCGCCGGAGCTCACGCGTGTGAATGGAAATGCAAGTTTTGGCTCTGAATGTCATTATGCAGACTCTCAAGGCTCCAGCTGCACTTTTCAGTTTATGTAAATCAGACCTTTTCCCAATGTCTGTGGAATACGGCTCGGATGATGTATGCATGAAATTTGAAAACAGGCAGCCCCCCGTCACTGTTGATTTGCTTTGACTACAGAATCTTTAATGTATTCTAACCAAACACCGCCAAACCTCCACCAGTCTCCTGTGCAGTATTGAGAATACACGACCGTTCATCTGTGAGGAGGACGATGATGAAGACACCAGCACTGGGGAAGTAATGTAGGTTACAATGTCGTCATTGGTCACAAAATGAGGTCACCCCGAGAACTTAGGAAGAGCCGACGAAAGATATAACTGAACAGAATCTGACAAATGTTTTTACCAGGGATCTATACTTTTACAAAGCGCAACCACTCAGAAATATTTTCGTACCACAAGATTTCATGAAACGGGACAAAACAAAAAGGAAAAACCTTGAATAAATCTGGGTCTTTCCATTATTTAAGAAAAATAAACCAGAACACAAAAGACTGCATGCAGTCCTCTTTTTTTTCTTTTTTCTTGGTCAAAGAACACAAAAATGTTTTTGCCTTTCTCCACTCAGGCTTTAACTGAGCAGTTACTGCTGAGCTATGATGGAAATTGCCGCTGTGAAACTGAAACATGTTTTTGTTCTACAAAGCCGCAGAAAAGGCTTCTCAGAAAGGATAAACACAATCCCTAAAGTTATTCATACTCAACCAAAACTTCAAGCCACGGCCTAGCTGGTGGGAGCAGGAGTCAAACAAACATATCTGCCCAGATATATTTCTTTCCCCTGTGATCAGCACTCTCATAATTTTACAAATGAAAAAAAAAACTCCTGCCAAGCAGAAGAAAGCCAGTGAGACCTACGGTTTCAAAATATAGATGGAAATGATAGCGCAGCCCAACACTTATATAAATATTGCACTGCAAAGATTAAAGGACAGAAAACACAGTTTCTTTCTTTTCTCTTCCTCCCTGTTACTGAAGTCAACAGTTTTTCTTCTAAAGTAACAGCATCAAAGGACTGTAATGACTAAAGCTGGTTTTGGGCCTTAAGTGATTCATAGCTGCAGATCAGTCTGTGTCAGGATTCACTTTTAAGTTAACAAAGGAAGCTTCATTTAGCTGACTGTGTTATTCTAGTATAGTGAAGGTGCTTTGTACTCTTTGTGTGAAATCATCAGAAATCATTCAAATGTTTCAATTGAATGTTCCTTAAAGAAGGTTTGAAAGATGTCTGCATGTTTCCCCCCAATGCTGTGCAGAAAGTCACTAAGCCACTCTCAGAATCTGCAGGGTTTCCAGTACAATAAGGGCCCGAGCACTCCCATTCGTCAGCATTCAAAGTAGACCCAAAGGGCTCCATATCTCAGAGAAATACAGACAACCAGACTGTTTCAGCAACAAGTTCAGGAGCCAGTCTCAGAGATGGCATTGGGTAAAGCTCATTTACCCTCCTGTGTGATGGCAGCATTAATGCACAACGGTTGAGTGTGATTTCAGACAATGTAAGCCGACAAAAAGCAGAAGAAATGCCATGTGTGACTGATAACAAAAGCAACTTAAACAATAACAAACGCTGTGCCTGTGAAACCTTTGGGAAAGCTGACCTACCGGATAAGATCAAGATGAAGAAAATCAACAATTACCAGAAAAGAAAATCTGAACGGTAAAAGAAAGTAGTGAGTGCGAGGCCTTGGTTTTCTACTGAATGATACTGAAAGGCTGAAATGTATATGAAAAGAGCAAAAGGGACAGATCATTTTAATACAGAGACGAGGAGCTCTCAAAGGAAAGGTCAAAGGTCAAAGGAAACACTACAATTAAGATCTTAAATGGAAAGCAGCTGAAGATGTATGAAGAAGGCCAAAGGATGAGTCAGTACATATTTAAACTGAACAGCTGATTCATGTAAACATCACAGTCACAGTCACACTGACACACACTGTGGTTGTGTGTCAGTGTGTCAGTTATGATGCAATTATGAAAAATAACATTAAAAAAACATGCGAGGCACTGTGCCTAAAAGACCAGGACTGGGATAAACTGGTCTAAGAGATACAATAAAGACCAACACACACACTCTAAACACACATCACTGATTGGGTCATGATTTATTTTACTCAAATGATAAGAGGTGGAACTACCATCGCTGCAGAATGGGTGCTGGATGTTGACCTTTGTGCTAATAACAAACCGGATTCATATTTTGACCACATCCCCCCACCCCCTCCCGAGTTTCCAAATCTCATTCCCCAATCTATCTCTTCTTCTTTTGCTTGTTCGAATGTTATTGAAGGTGTGTGAGTGTGGCATTCAGCTGTGTTCACTAACAATCCCCTGGCTATTGCTCAGCCTCTGCAGTCATGCCCACGGAACGGAATCACGTTGCTGGAATTCCCAACAATCCCAGTCCCGCTTTCACGCTTTGTTTGCTTCAGATCTCTTGTCTCTTAATGGTTTTATGCAGCGGAGATGATGAAACTCTTTGTAATTCTGTTGAACTCTGCAGTATTCGCTTTCCCTGACTCTGCCCTAACCTCTCTGACATGTGCTGCTGGTATGAAACTGACCTTACATTTATTTAGAAAGAAAAAACTAAAAAAAATAATAAAAAAACATCAGCACCTCCTTAGTGCATGCATCCTCATGGATATTAGACTCATTCCCATCTTTTGGGGGCTAAACGACCATCTGTCCCCGTTTAAATTCAGTCTTGACCCTTCATCTGCTTTTGGCTGCTACGTTTAACCCTTTCTCTGAATAAAGATCGCACATAAAAATAAAAACAAAATAAATCAGGTCCATAGTGGCGCAAACTGGTCCACGCGCACCTGAGCGTCTCTTTGCGCGCCTCCTCTGGCTGCACCTGGGGGTGGAGACAACGGACACACATACACTCCCACACACACCCACCCACCCCAACTCCCCACTCCTCACCCCGCCCCCCCACTCCTGTCTGCGCCTTTAAGGCAGCCTGTGGTCTGCCCCCGTGCCAGGCTCCGTGGAGGTGCGCGCTCTCAAAGTTTGGCTGGGGAATAGAGGCAGCCTGGAGACGGCAGCAGTAGCAGCAGCATCAGCCCGCCGGGAGCCGGAGCAGGCACCCCACAACATCCCGAAGACAAGGGAGGGGGGTGGGGGGGGGGGGGGGGAGAAAAGAGAGGAGCACCGCATCCCGCGTGGGAGGGTCCGGCACCGGCAAGAGAAAAGGACAAAGCCGCGCAGGGCTTTTCGGTTTCTACATGGAGAACGCGATCACTTCCATGTAACGGGAGGGACTCCCGGCTGCAGCCTCCCCCCCCCCCCCCCCCCAAACCCCCCCCCCCTATCCCCCCCCCCCCTCCAGCCATGCCGCTCGTGCTCCGCGCGGTGCTGTTCGGGCTCGTAACGCTGCTGGTGGGGCTTCTGATCATTGACGATATTTCCCAAGTGGAGAAAGACACTGCGTGAGTAAACCCCAGCGTAATGGATCCCAGTGTGTGTGTGTGTGTGTGTGTGTGTTTGGAGTCAGTGTGTGTGTGTGTGTGTGTGTTGCCTATTGTTCGTTGTCCAGCAGGTTATTTTCCTCCAGGCTCTCTCAGAAGATCTTATCTGTGAAGTGTGGCTGAGGGAAGGAAGGACGAATGGATATTGGGAGGGAGGTGGGGAAAAACGACTTTCTCCAAAATTGATTGAAGTTTGGAGTTGAATGTGGAGCGTGTGCGGCTGGTTTCCACGTTTGGAAGACTTGGCTGCAGCGGCAGCTGTTCCGGCTGCAGCCCCCCCAGCCCCCAGCCGGGGTCTCCAAGGACCGGGCTGACCAGGCTGACCGGGCTGTTGTCCGTCCTGCAGCGGCTCCGGGCGGGATGGGAGACGTTTCCATGAAAAGAAAGGGGGGATGGAGAGGAAGAGCGTGTGTGAGAGATGGAAGGAGCAGGCAGGAAACAAAAGAAGCTTTCCCTTTTTCTCCATCTCGGTTTCAGACTTTGAAATGTTGAGCAGTGCCGCAGAAACCTGCCCAGTCTCCCCCCTCCACCACCCCCCCAATCGTGCCCCACTTTGTATTTGACCTGCTAATAATGCCAATAAAATCCCTTCTCCCTTTGGACCAGTCTCAGGAATCAGGGCAGACCACGGGGCCCCTCTTCTCCTCCAGGGTTTCCTCACTGCTGCTTCACCTGAGCCAAAAACAAAAAAAAGGAAGTCTTTTTTTTTGTGTGTGTGATGCTTTTTGATTCACACGTTCTCCTTTCGGCAGGAACATTCTGTTTTGAATGCAATTACTGGGCTGTGGCTCATGCTGTAATGAGGTCAGATTGGTTTGTGATTCACCGTGGGGAGAAAAAAACCCAGAACCAATTCAACTTTTGCATGAATTGAGCATAATAATAATCAAAGTGTTTGAAAGGCCACAAGAATTGCTAAATGAGCGAGAAGAGGCGGGCGGCTGTCATCCAATTCGGCTTTTCACTCCTTCATTTAGACTTCTACTGGCCGATCGCTGCAAATTCATCAGATGTTGCCAAGGTCAGGTTTGCGAAAAGTGCTGGAGGCTGAGAAATCTGAAGGCATATGCAGCATATTTACTGTAAATGCATCTCGGCCGATGTACTCAGGAAACCTTGTGCAAAGACTGCTCACTTCTCGGTGAAAAGAAAAGCTCCTCACAGCGTAATGGGGCTCCATTAAGGCCACATTTCTGCTCATTACATCAGCAAATGGGCCCACTGTGCTTTCCTAAAAAAAAAAAATAGGAAAAAAAAATCCCCTGATGTGTGAATTTAGGCTTCAGTCCGTCTTGAAAGAAGGCTGTTCGCTGCACCTGCAGCTGGGGCGTTAAACGGAAGAGCCTGAGCTGCTGTAAGTGATGCGTAATTCAATCTGAATCTTTCTTCTTTTCTTTCCTCAGAAATGCCGGACACTCAAAGAAGATGAACTCCCACCAGCTCATCCCCAAACCACACAGGTCTGAAATCTTATCCCCCCCCCCCCACACCCACGGACCGCCACATAGATTTGAAGTGGGATTTTCACTTGCCTTTGGTCACTGAATCCCACACTGACTCACTCACGCTGAGCGTGTCATAACTTTAGAAGGAAAGATAACTGCTGCTATAAATACTAAGCAATGCATCATCAGGCTGTATCCGTGAAATAAAACCTGTCATGAGAAGAAAGCCGAATCCAGCTCTTTGAAAAAAACAGCTGTATTTTCAAGTAGCATTGCCTAATCTTTTCCCCAAAACTGGTTAAGAAGCCAGAAAATAATTTTAGTACAATAACATTTGTTTTAGACACGGACCTGTTGTTTTTGGGAATCATTTACTTTTTTATAGGACTTGTCTGAAAGGGCCTGTTTATTTAGAATGGGCCGATACGGTGTAGAACACCGGCAGGGGAATCAAAATAAGCATGAAAAAAGCTAAAAACAGAACATTTTGCTTCACGATATGTTGATTGGAGGAAACGGTAAAGCAGAAGAGGACCAGGGCCACTCTTCAGAAGTGATGATGTCATAATGGGGTAGTTTGGCACTAATGTGGCGCCTCGTCGTCACGTTTTCTTCTGTCAGCCAGAGTTTGTGCTGCCCACTGAAACCGTCAAAGAGCTCGCCGGCGTGTGCTTTCCATCAGCGTCTTGTCTGGTGTAGCCAAAATATCTCCATTCACCCGGTTAATGAAATGATTCTCTCCAGTTGTGTTTATTTTCTGCGGTTTTGCTGCAATTCTTCCCTCATTACGCAGCTTTGCAAACAAAACTGGTGCTGCTGTAGTACCGCGATGCAGAGGAAGGGGTAAACTTTATCTGGCTGCTAAATGACAAAAACACCTAACAGACCAAAACCAGTGGAGTTCAGTAGGAAAGCGGTCTGAGAGAGTTGGCCTTAGACTTCCTGCTCTGTCCTGAGAGAGTCAGGATTGACTAAAGGTGCATTGGATTTTTCATCCTCTCAAAGTGTGCGAGCTGCTCATTCCAAACTGAGAGGGGCCCGAGAGCTCCGTTTCGTGTTGACGTCTTTTCCGAGCGGAACAACTGAGCCAGGCATCACAGTAATTGAAGCGCAGTATAATGTAATCTGCGGAATGCACTGGACAGGCGCACAATTGGTCCTGAAAACACAATTTGAGGCGTTCCAGAGCTGTTGATGTAGCCCTGAAATGGCGCATTTGTCTAAGGACTTAAGCATTTGAGACGCATAATAGGGCCCGCTGTATTCCAGTGCCTGTGAGGGGGATGAAAAAGCTCCTCTTGAATTCCACAGGCTTTGGGCAGAGTAAGATAAATCCACACCGTGCGGGGGACACCACAACAAGGCGGGCGTCTGCTATTGATCAGAGCCTCCAAGGTCGACCTTTTGTGTAAAATAACATTTTTATCATCATTTAGAAAGGTCGCGGTACTGGTGGATCCGACTGCGATGGCGGGGATGAGCAGGCGTGTGGATCATCGCAGCCCCAGCCCCAGAAACACTGCCAAGCACTCGCCGGACACCTGGACCTTCAATAAGACCCTCTCCAGCCTCATCAGGTTACCTTTCACCACTCCCCAGAATGAGCCAGACGCGGTTCGCTGAGGTTCCTTTTCTAATAAGGGCACGCTTTCTCTTATTCGCAGGAAGAATATTCTGAGATTCCTGGACCCGGAGCGGGACATCTCCATTCTAAAGGGCACGCTGAAGCCGGGGGACATCATCCACTACGTCTTTGATCGCCGCAGCACCACGAACATCTCGGAGAATCTCTACCGTCTTCTGCCGACTGCGTCCCCCATGAAAAACCAGCATCACAGGCGCTGCGCCATCGTCGGCAACTCGGGGATCCTGCTGAACAGCAGCTGCGGGCTCGAGATCGACTCTCACGACTTTGTCATCAGGTAGCTGGCTTCTCTCCGGTGGTCTGAGGAGTGGAGGCGTCCAGCCTTTGGGGCGAAGAGCGCTGTGACTGAAAAATCCTTGGCCCGTCTGATCTCTGAGTGCACTTCTCAGGCTGAGCGTGGCTCGTGTTAGCTAGAAAATCGTTTTGCGGTGTTGATATTTTAATCCAGTCTCTCCGCCCACGCTGCTTAAAAGCGTTAATTGCAATTTTAAAAAGCCACCGGAGCTTTTTTTTTTTTTCTTTTTCTTTTTTTAAACCTAAAGTTGGGAACTGCAGCCAGGCGGAGAGTAATTAAACGGTCTGGTGTGCACGAAATAGACGTCTTGAAAGGGTTTTGCAGCCGGCAGTAACGCGCTGTGCTTTTCAGGGAAACGCCGGCTCTCTCCCGGGCCCTGCTCTCATTTACAAACGGGACACTGTTTGGAGAGTGGGCAGCCTGCTCTGTTTGGTCTGCCTTTCGGAAGGGAAATTTAAGCCCGAGTAGGGGTTGGGTTGTGATGGCACGTGCAAAACGTCCCAGGGCCCAAGTCTGGCTTATACGTGCACTTTCTGCAGAGGCTCTGAAAGCACCGACTCACAAAAACACTGGCTTTAATGTGGAGGAGTAAAAGGACAAAGTAGCAGCAGCGGTGTCTCATTTAACACTCTGATTGACAGCTGATTGGCCTTCCAAATCCCACATGCCTGCTTCTAAATGGTAAAAGTTCTATTATTCGAGGCTTGTTTTTTTGCCGCTTTTGCAGTAATGAAGAGGGGTCATGGTTTCTAAACTCCAGAAAGGTGCTCATAATCCAGGCTCTCTGCAGTAATGGTTGACTGAAAGCAGAGAATGGGAAACGTGACATTTTAGAAGCCAAGGAACTTCCTTTTGCACTTGCATATCAAACAGGAAGATAATGTGTCAGCTATATATAAGTCTCCGCTTACTCTTGGGTTTCACAAAGTAGGTTGACGGTGTTTGAGGCACCAAGTATAGATCACTCCGGTTCACACCTACACGAAGCATCCGAGCACCAGTTGCTTTTCCAACAGGCTCCTTAGCTGTCATGTAACACTGACTGCAACAGTGAAAATGAATGAACACAGAGTCCCACTGCCACGTTTCCAGCTGAAACAGCCGCAAAGAAAAGTACCAATATCAGGGGGTTAGCAACTGGGTTAAGAGTGCAAATTCTGTTTTTAACAAATACAGAATTTGTACAGAGATTCCGAGTGCAATTGTCTTTTTGTTTCTCTAAGCACAACCTTTGTGTTGTTTTGTCATAACTGGAAAGTATCTGGCTGCAGGCAGACAATTAAAATCCTGCAGTATTCAAACGGCAATATTTGTTTCTTTCACAGTGGCTGCCACTAGGAGCACATTTTACCATGGTCACACACACACGCACACACTCACAGACACCTGCCTGATTTCCCCGCCAAGGTTTGCGTAAAAAAGATGTTACATATTCGCTTAAAGGCAGAAGTTCATAAAAATGAACAAAAGCTACCCTGCATGCTGGATTTTGCTTTTTTTTTCTTACTGGCTAAACTCTGGATGGTGAATGAAAGGAAAACAAAATTAAATTTCTAAAAAAATACGAGCCACCTGCACAGGTTCAGGGTGTTTAGCATCATCATTCAGAATCCAAAGGACCAGAAATGCCACCTTTCTGTTTCACAACATGTAAAAAAATGGTGGCTGAATGTTTAGAAGGTCTGTATGAACACCTGTTCCTTCTCATTTTTTACCCAGTCCCAAAGTGTGAATAGAAACGCAACAAAAAGATTCACTAATCTTAAAAAAACAACAGATTATTGTTTGTTTTTTTTACAATAGAGCTGGGAAAATGTGAGGTGAATTTATGAAGTTTTTTTTTTTTTTTTAGTTATTCTTGTCACTTTTTCTGATACTAAAATGGAGAAACTTTGCTTTCAGGTGTAATCTGGCCCCGGTGGAGGAATACTTTGAGGATGTGGGGCGGCAGACCAACCTGGTGACCATGAACCCGTCTGTGGTGCAGCGCGCCTTTCAGGACCTGGTGAGCGAGGAGTGGAAGGGGCGCTTTTTGCAGCGGCTCCGGAGCCTCAGCGGCAGCGTGCTGTGGATCCCGGCCTTCATGGCTAAGGGCGGGGAGGAGCGCGTGGAGTGGGCCCTTCGCCTCATCTTGCTGCACACCGTGGACGTGCGCACCGCCTTTCCGTCGCTGCGCCTTCTCCACGCCGTCAGAGGGTAAGACGCAGCTGCCGCCACCCGTTAGCGGCACAATCAGGGGGTCGGCCAACTCTGAACCGTGGCCCAGGAGGCTATTTCTGAACAACGCGTTTCAAAATGAGAAAGTTACTCTGTTTTTGCTTTGAGCAAATGTCATGTGTCGCTTTCAAATGAATCTCTTTGATACTGTTCTGTTTTTTCCCCTAATTTTTTAATTTGCCCGTCTGTGCAAAACATGGCGTGACATTTGGGGAAGTGTATTTATTTGCTTTCTAGCTGAGAAAAATCAATGCTGCTCTCATTTAGTGTCAAGCCTATTTGCATTCAGCTCGCTGTGAGGCCCTAAAGAGAAAGAAACTAGAAAGCCCACCATGCGAATACTTAAATCGTAGAGTACCTCACCCTCCCCTCTGGAACAAGAAGGAGAAACTTGAAAGGCCTGCTCCAGAACCAGTAATCGGGCTGTCCAGCAAATGTTGCAGGCGGGCAAACGGCGGCGTCACGTACTGACTCCCACCAAGGTGGAGAAAATGGGACGCGTGCACAGAATGACTGCTCAGTCTGAGGAGAATGTTTCAGTTCTGCCCAACACACCGGGCTCTTAAAACTGTCGGCGCAAATCGAACTTCAAAGACGAGGCTGACAGTGGGAAAAAGTCTGGGGGTGTTGAATCAATCGCGGAGAGACGGACAGCTCGACATTTCCTGTGAGACACAACAGTCTGATGATCCGACTTTATCTGGGCGAAAAACAGAAGGTTTCAGGGAGTCCTGTCGACAGCGTGAGATTGCCAGGCAACCGGCAGACTTGCTGGATAGAAGCGCCGGGCTGATGGGCCTCATGCTGTCCCTGTAATTCTCTGCTAGGAAGCACAAGGCACATGGCAAGATTTAATTGAGTTGTTGAAGTCTGATCAGCTCTAAAATGAGTTTCTTTTGGGCCGTAGCTTTTAATGGGAATAGGTCTGTCTTGATTGGTCTGTGGAAGCCGTTGGGGGGAGCTTTTCCTGTTAACTGTCTTGTTAAAACATTATTTGGGATGACCATTGGCGGTAATGCATTTCAAGGCTGATCTTTTCTAGAGATACTGTTTTTTTTTCACAATTGTGACAGATGCCTACTTCACTGCCTTCAGGTTTTTGAAAAAAACAAAACCTTCTGCAATATATTTGTTGTGCTGCTTTGGCCCCTTTTTGGCTGAATCTTTCCTGTGTCGTTAAAAGCCGTAAAGCCCAAAGCATTAAAAATATCCACTGCTGGTCAGTGACCAAATAGAGCTTTTTTCAACGCTCCGACTAACTCTCTGTAAAGGGGGCAGATCTGCCCCAGATTCTGTTATTAGAAGACTGTAAGATGAGTCTTTTACTTCAAAATGTGACTGTAAAATTTCTTAAAGATGAGAATAAATGTTACTGTAGTCAATTCAGCTCAAAGATTCAACTGACCCCTTGTCTAAAAACTGCAGACTTCAAGAGCAGCAGAGGACAAATGAGCTGGACATGTTCACAAAAAACCCACAGCATCTTTTATTCTCTCTGAAAGCTTGTTACCGGCTGTAGTTTCTCCCTGCACACCTCACAAAGAGCACTGAATCAAACAACCTCTGCACTCACCCTAATAACCACAGAGGGTGTTAGAGGTGATTGAAAAGGAAGTGACATTGGCAAGGTTGGACAAACTGGCTTTTGACTGAAAAGAACAAATGAAGGCGGGAGCAGATGAGTGACCAGTGGCTCCGTGCTGCAGCTGTTTGGCTTCTGAAAAGTACTTTCAGATTGAGCAATTTTGTTAAAAAAGAAACGGCAAAGAAAGATGTGGGAGAATATAGGACCAGATTCAAATCTCAGAAGCTGTGCCTCTTTGCTGAGGAAGTCTGTTTTGTTTTTTTCCAACGCACCAGATTGATGGAAAGGACGTTTCCTGTGCGGATGCCAGTGGTGTAAAACAAATGGCACATTCTTAAGTCAGTTTTAAATTGCAAATATGTGAGAAGAAAGGTTTTGACTGTGTGAACAAAAGGGGCAGTTTTGTGGAAATAAATCAACGTGCTGTTTCCAGCCGATAGACGCAGCAACTTCACGCTGATTCAGAGGGGGAGGACCCAAAATGTGTAGTGTACACAGAATTTTAGCTCTTTGTTTGATAAATGACCTTGAATTAATCAGCTGCTGTCTGCTCTGGGAAACCTGCAGATTTAATGAATAAATGTATGTCTTTGAAGCATTTTCTTTTTGTATAAACAACACAGAAATGCTTATTTCAAGCTCTAGGTCTCTTCTTGTGGACCTTGGCTCTCCACTCATCTGTATGCTTCAACATATCTGACTTAATGTCAAAACTCAAATGCATATAGGTCACACCGAAGCAGATGAAGGTTCCTCATTTCTAACTTAAATCGTGGAAACCAATTTTGTGGCTGCTCTCGCCTGATTAGATACAACTGACTGCATACTACGTGCCTTTGTTTACAGATACTGGCTGACCAACAACGTTCACATCAAGCGTCCGACCACCGGCCTGCTCATGTACACCATGGCCACCCGCTTCTGCGAGGAGATTCATCTCTACGGCTTCTGGCCTTTCCCACTGGACCCACATGGCAAGCCGGTCAAATACCACTACTACGACACCCTCAAGTACGAGTACACCTCCAGCTCCAGCCCTCACACCATGCCTCTGGAGTTCAGGACCTTGAGCACTCTGCACAGACAGGGGGCGCTGCGGCTCCACACAGGAGCCTGTGAAGAGCAGAATGAACTCAAGAGCAAATAGCTGGATGGAAGATCTCCATGGGAACTATTTTCTGGACTGAAGGGTACCTCGTTACTACTTTTTTTTTTTTCTTATTAAACTTGAACAACTGAATGTCCAGTTATAGAACCCAACCCTTTCTGTTTCAGGCTTCTGTACCGACTGGTTGCACTGCTGTATTTGAACTTTAATGAGATTACTATGGTAACCGTTAACCCTCTGGGGTTCTGTCATGAGCAACTGGAGAGGCAACAGATGGTTTGGGTCTCATAATGGATGCTACTTGTTTGGTGGAAACACAGGCACATATGCTTTTGTGTGGGAAAACAATGGGCTTATGTAATGAATCCGTTTTACTGTCAGCTATTCACAATATCAATCAGCGGCCCGACAGCAGAATGCCTATTTATATGGGCTAGCCTGAAAAAAGTAATCTAATTTACATGCATTTTGAAGTGCAGATTTTTCATAATTAACAAAAAAAAACGTTTGTAGTTGCAGTAAAAATGAGAACCCGGCAGGTCACACTGCAGAGATAGGCTGTGTCCGGACGGTTTTTCAGTGGAAAGTGTGGTTGGGCTCCACTTGGCTGCAGAGGGAGCTGTGCAGCACGCCAGCGGCAGGATGAGCTGCCGCCGGCTCCTGTGAGTCCATGTCCCGGCCACAATACGGAAGCTGAATAATCAGGGACAGAGAGATGTGCGGAGAAAAAAAAAAAATACTGAGCAGCGTTTCTTTTCAAACTGTGAAGGCTTCTTTTTTCTGATTTTGGACATTTCCTTTTTATATAGATAAAAGCTTTTGGGAGATTTTGTAGTACCTTAAATGTTGTGAACACTATTTATAAAGCATTTGTAAATGAACCCCTAGTCGGCATGTGAAAACTTAGGTTGCCTTGAAAACCAAACGGAGGTACGGCGGGCTGTGAGGATAAAGGAGGGCCGCAGCTGTTCACACATGGAGGCTTTCTCAGTCAACAGTAAACTGACTTTGCACTAGTCCAGGTTGTGCTACGAAATGTGAGGGGTCAGGTCGGATGGGTACAATACGGTGATGGGAAGAAGGCGTGTGTGATTTCCTGCTAAATGCCGAAATAAGCGACACGCTTTCATTCTTAGGCACAACAGTTTGAGAGCAGATGACGCTGAGAGGGAGAAGAGCTGGAGACCTGTTTGCCTTTATTTACTCAGACTGATGAATGAGCGGTTGTTTTTCCTGCTGCTGCGCGTTGGGGAGTAGTTTTTGAATCGGTAAAGTTGGCTGATAGCGACGTCTGTAGATTTAATTATAAGCTGCCACTGTTTTGTGCCTGTTATGAAAACTGTTTTATTAAAAATGGACCATTCACGTGTTTTAGAAAAGAGAATGTCCAGGGATGATCCCGTCTGATCCCCATAGGATGGAATGTAGCTCACAAATGATACAAACAGAATGTGCAAAAACACTTGATTGTCAGGCTGCCGGAATGTTTGGAAGTCGTTGTGCATTTCTTTTCAGGAGAGGGAAGCACACTGGTGTTTTTAGGCAGAACCAAATGGGGGGGCTTTTGGATAACGCTTTTCTACTCCTCAGCTCCGCCTCTTTTACAGACTTTCTAGGAGTCGCGTCTGGATGCGGTGCTTTTAGCCAGCGTCTCGGGGCATTTCTCAGTTTACAAGATTTACCACAAACATTTGAAATATTCCAAGAGCTAAATGAGTTGGGTCTCATGCGCTCCCAGCCATGTGATCCGTCCATAAAAGTGTTGTTGGACAGATGCGGCTGGTGACTTGCGTGTCAGCCTTATTACTGCTGCCAATTAAGTTAAGAATAGACATGAAAGTTGTAATAGAGACGTCAGCAGTCTGAAGCAAAGAAAGGTTTATTTGTGAACGCTCGTCTGAGTTCTGCAAAAATAGAAACATTCTGTGACCAATACTATTAGCTTCATTAACCCAGAATTCAGAGTTCCCTCTGACCAGTAGGCCCTGCTTAGGAGCTGTGTTGTAGATTTCTCTTATTTTCTTCATGTAGAGTCTGTTGTTATACGTTCTTGTCTGAGTTAAAGCGAATATTAGCCTTTGCATGTTTGTCTAAACGAATACAACATATTCATTCATATCTAAAGTTTTGTCAAATACTTGAAACTAGTCATGAACACATGAAGCGTGCTGTTATGACAGTGTGAATGTACTTTTTTTTTTTGTGGCAAAAAAAAAGAAAAAAAAGAACCCAAAATATCAAAACGGGAAAAGATTTCCAGCCTCACCCTTTAAAAGGTTGAACTCTTCAAAGGAAGCCGTTTTATTTTCTGTGGCGTTTTAAAGACGTGGAAACAGAAGTGGGTGCACATAACATCTGCGTCAGGCTTGTTTTCCGTCAACTCCCCAAAACAGCTTTAACATACAACGGTTCTTTTTTCTTTTCGCAGCCACAACTTTGGTTTGTTTTACAAGAGCAAGTTTCTGTAGCAGATGATTCGAAACAAATAAAAGTCTACAATTAGCATCTTTACAGAAGCAGGATTTTTCCACGATTTTACACGCACAACACAGGATGAAATAACAGACATCACCCGGGGGGAAGTCTCCTGAGACCCGCTGAGCAGAGGCATAAAAATGGATCTGCAGTTGCTAAAATGACACAGGTTACAACACTGATCTGATAAGCGGTCACGCTGGAAAACAAGCTAAATTGCCCCCATTTGGCTGAAGGTGTACTGGAGAAGATCCTATCAAAAATACGCTTGACTCAGATTTCATGGAGCGTTAAACATCACATTTAATCGACCTCCATCTGAAAATGTCGACTACCTTTTTCTGAAGCCCGGAGAAGTCTCCCCGTGTTCTTTTTACTTTGACAGAAAAAGCTCAAAAGGGCTTTGCATGAGTCAGTTGGCGTTTTTCTCACACTGAACCGAGGTCATCTGCAGGATCAGTTACCAGCATGGATCTAAACAGAAGGTCACCCACACAACCCACTCAGCTCCGCCTGGAACTGCCTTCAGACAGCGGCTGGCGATTAAAGACATACATTGAAAATTCTCCCCGTTTTAACACTGACTTATAACAACAACAAAAAAAAAAACAGGACTTGTTTTCTTTCTGAGTCTCTGGTGAAGCCCGACAGTGGAGGCCTAACATGACGAGTAGGCGTTCACCTCCTGTTTGATGCCTCTGTGGATCATTTCCAGCATTTCTTAACCAGCCTGACCTTTTCCTGACTCTAAAGTGGACATCTGGGCGGCTCGCTGTAAACCTGTGACCGACCAGCGCTCAGTCGTAGGCCCGGTGAATAAATGAAATGGGTCACAGTCTGACGCGCTTAATTAACTCTGAATAACGCACTCACATTCAAAACAAACCGCACGCACACATACTTTATCTCACCGATGTATCACGATGGCATTCAAAGTTTTTGAGTCCAATGTGAAATCTTCAAATGTCAGCTGATGTAGCAGCAAAGGTAAGACCGAAACCTGAAGCAACATACAGTAAAAAATATGAACAGACTTCATACAGAAAGCCTTTAACAGTGTTTAAGCACAATAAAGTGGTTAGAAGGTCAGACATTAAAAATAAAAACATGAAAACATTTACTATATCTTAATAGATACTTGTAAGTTTTACAGACTAAAGAATTCTGCACATTATCCGCTGGTTCATTAACTCCTTACATTGACTGACCCACTCATTGTAAAAATGGCTTGCAGGCAGACTTGTCCTCTGTTAACTACTCTCCCCGTCAGACTGTAGCTAAGGTATGAAAAACTATTTGATATCATTTCAACATCATAATTTGCTCTGTGAAGGAGAACGTTCGTCTCCAGACCACCTGGAGTCTGGCAGTTAGCTGACATGTGAGGTAACGATGTGGAGGCCGCTCATCCATATCATCGGGAATAGCTGAGCAGGTTATTCGGATCACATGACAGAGGCCCTCGCAAGACGGGAGACGGCGATAGCTGGACGGCGCCAGTCACTTCGACGCAGATAAAAGCCATGCACAGGCAACGGGAGTCGCTGATAGGACAAGACTTCAGTGGCAATGCGGAATTACAGGACTTGAGTTGAGGAGCAGGGCAGGAGTTAAAAAAAGAGAAAAAAAACGCAGATGTCCGCATCTGGATTCACCTGCGATGAAAAGGACAGTTGAGGGTTAGACGGCAGTGTCCCACGTGCGGTTATCTGACAACGTGATGAGGAGGAAGTAAGTTCCCCCGCAGAGTCCAGTCTGACTTGGAAGTCAGGAATGTCAGGTAAACAGGACGTCATCTCTTCCTCTGTCAAAGAACAATGGAAAGCACGGAAGGGTGAAACCTAAAGTCAACACTGGAAGTGCAGTTAAAGCGAGCTTTTCCCAAAGACAAAGCCCCCGTACAAGCCCTAACTACATAATCTAATAGTGTTAAGCTACTACTGTGCTTTTGCACCACATCTAGTGACTTCAGACCTAATTCGCCTCAACTGGAGGAGGGGTAAATACAGAGCCAAAGCAGATTAACAAGTTGCTTTACATATGAGGAAATTCCATCTTATCACTATGGCGACAAGTAAGATGAGCAGAGACAGTGAGGGAAAACCTCATAGTGTATGTGCACGAAAAAGAGGAAAGTTTTACCAGCAAACGGACATGTACAGCTCACACATCTTTGTGAGCCCAACGATGAGGGTTGTCTGCATTACTTTATGATGCTTCCACTTATTAGGCAGCATCGCCTGCTTTTTTACAACCCAATTTGCCTGCCTTTCCCTGCGCCATGAGGTCTGCTTGCGCTTTCGTCTGGCCGGACGAGTCCCAGCTATCGGGAGGGTTTCCTACAGGTGACTCGGTGGTGGGCAGATGTGCTTCGTTAAGTAGGCGTCTAATGAAACAAACCTGTATTTGACATCAAAGAGGGTCGAGTCATCCTCGTCCTCGTTCTCCTCATTCAGGGGGGCCATCTCCACGCGCTCGGCCGGCGTGGTTATGATGTCATATTTCCGCGTCTTCCTGATCCGCCGGCCAGATCTGTGGGAAAGAAAGGACAGGTAGACTTCATCCACCAGCGGCAGAAGGAGCGAGGCTGACTTGGGGAATTCGGAGTTTGTGCTGTTGCATTAATGCTGGGATTGGCTGCTAGCACAGTCTGAGCAGCCTGCTGCTTTAAGATGAATGGTTGGGGGGAATTAAATTGGCCGAAAAACAATTGCGATGATCAGTGAGCCATTTATGACTCCCAAAAAACTTTATGAGGTTGCAGTTTTGTAAATATCATTGTTTTTCCCACTTTTAAGAGCTGGGATTCAGGACCCTGTTGCACAGCTGGTTCGTTGGGACTTGCAGAAGACAGACAAATAAGATGGATAGAAACCTTTATAGAGAAACTACATATAAATAACAGCCTGCTTGTGTGTCCACGTACAAAATTCCCCATGAGAAAGTGGTAAATAAGATCATATGGGGGCAAAAACAAAACAGACACACCTGCTGCCCATAAAAAGAATTGACCTGGTCAGACACTCACAGGGACCCGTCATCGTAAAAACCCCTGACTGAGAGACACCTACCTGATCACCTTGATGACCAGACACGTGATGACAGCGGCCGTTAACACGCAGACGAAAATAACGATGTTTTTCAGAGTTGGCAGATGCGTCGCGAGGAACGAAATCCGGGATCCCACGGCGGCGTCCGTGGCGTTCCTCGTCATTTCACCTTGGCCGGTGGTGGACAGCGATGACGACGACGACGACGACGAGGACGTGGAATTTAACGGGGTCGCGGACAACAGAGTCGGTGGCTCTCCGCCGACCCGCCAAAGAGCCGCGGCCAGAAAAGTTAAAGCCAGGTGGCACGCGCGCGCCATGGTGCTGCGGCTGGAATGAAGATAACGCGCGCGAGGAGCTTCTGTCGTCTCTCCCAACTGTGGACGAAAGGCGGCGGCAGCAACCGTCACATTATACAGACTCGCCTTATCGGTGTCAGGGTTGGCTATTTACACAATGAACGAGGTGAGGCGCAGGCATCCATGTCTTCTCCTGAGGGCGGACCTCTCGGCCGTAAATTGCATTAGTTTCCAGAATGTGTTTCCCGGGGAAGGTGAGTGATGGCGACCCCCTTCCTGGCAGTACTGACGCTGCGTGTGTGGAGATGGGGATTATCAGCCTCCGGAAGGGCTTCTGCGGGCTGGCCCTCTGTTCCTGGTGCTGAAGAAGGGAATTATGTGGGCTTGCGCTGCCTTCAAGTCAGTCACGTACATCCGAAACTCGTCTGAGTTGCTGCCATTTAAAAGCGGATGCTGGCGGCTTCACTTTACAGCTTTGCCAGCTCGCGTTTTAGGTGGAATGCAGCTCAGTCATTGTACAATTTAGAGGTGAAGGGGTCAGTTATTACACCGACTTAAACACACGTCCGGCCAGCATCTACTCCAATGGAAATACAAGAAAAAGCAAGAGCATGGCTGCAGTGAGGCCTTTGCCGCTGTTATACTGGCTGTAATTGAATTCAGCACAGTAGTGTATTTAGTGCATCATTTACGGAGATTTGTGACTATATTTTAGATGTTTTCATTTTAGGGCTATCTGTGAACATGTGTTTTGCTCCGAAAACATACAAATAAAACAAAATGCTTCATGTTTCCACGTGTTTGTGTAGCCACTAAAATAAATATGTAGGGAGGGGTTACATTTTCTTACTATTGTCATATTTTGTTCATATTTGCTGTGCATTTCCAGTTTAAGCAGCCCCTTTGTCCCCTCCACCCGGCCATTGCTTTCCCATCCATCTCTGCATCTTTGCAATTTAGAATCACTGATGAATTTAACGTTCATGTTTTTGTAGGAAGTCAAAGCGCCAGAAGAACATGGAAACTCTACACATACGGGCCCCAAGAGCTCCCCAGCTGTGAAGTGACAGTGCTAACTACCACACAAACATTCAGCCATACATCAGAGGTTCGCTCAATAATAGATTGATCCCCGCTCAACTTAATCTATTTCCCTGGCAAAATGCATAGGCTGACAGTGGTTATCACATCTGCAGAGCATAGCCATCAAAGACGATCCATCCTCACCTATTTGCGCAGGCACACAAGGGAGTTGACAGGTTTCTGACAGCACCTGAAAGCAGCATCTCCCTGACTACCCACAGGTCACAGTTGACAGCACAGTTGTCTAAACTAGGCACACAGCCACAGATTTCAGGAGAAACCAGACAAGGCAGCGTTAAGTGGCCAGTAGATCAGCGCTGCTGAAAAGCTTTAATCTAATATACACTAAATCTATCAGGCTCTGTCTACAAGTTAATCTCACAACAGTCCCACTGTATGTCATCTCTATTTTTAGAAGAGGTCTTTTGTTTTTTTCAAGGAACCCATTTGTATTTCTGGTTTTGTTCAAACAGTCTTTACCATTGGGAACTTGTTTCCTCATCAAACAAGATTACAGTGTACCATCCTCAGGCACTCATTTTCTGTGAAAGCAAAACCGATCCTGCAGGTTTTGTTTGTGTGTTTCCTTTTATTTCTCTGGGGTTAGTAGTGAGCAGTCTGACCCGCCCCCCCCCCCCCCTTCTAAGAAATATTGGATCATATTCACGGCCACCAGATGGCAGCACAAAATAACGATGCCTGCCATTTCCTCCAGAGCTCACATTTTCAACATTCACAGTCTGAGTTGGTCTTTGAGACGCAGACTAATCTAAAATCACACTGAGTTCTTACAATCTCTTTTTGATAAGCCTGTAAGTGAAGCCAACCCATTGCTGGGGAGACAAAATAAACTAAATGCATCACACATATGCTGGTTCTGTTATACTCTGTATTTAAAGACAAGTTGCTTTTCACCGAGAAAGATAAAACTCATCATAAAAGTTGTGCTATCATTGATGGGCTAGCTTGAACTTTGCTCCTAAATTCAACTCAGGCTGCGATTGCTCCTCCACCCCGATCATTCAGCTCTCTAAAGCTATTTACTGAGCTATTTGAGCACACTATTTTACAGTCATATGTCAAGCAAAGTGAAAATGAAACACAAGAACACACTGAACCTGATATGTCATCAGGCTATGTGGAAACGCCTTGGTGTGAGACTGAACACCAGTGAATGCAAACCGTCCTGTTCTCTGACCTCTGATTAGATCAAGACTTCTAAAAAAAAATCACATTTACGTAATTCACTTCTGGTTTTTAATGATTATGTTGGCATGTGGCTTAGTACACTTACTAAAGTATACACACATGAAGGGCTCTCTCAGATCTTTACAGCCTGATTATAACAACACACTGGTTTCAATGATCTGCAGTCAAATAATTGTGATAATACTCCATGAAAAACACAGTAAACACACTGAACTGTTCCGGTTTATTCATTATTCACTTACTCATGCTTTCATGCAAGAGTTGACATATGTTTTCATTTCAACAACCGTGGTGATCTGACACAGAACACGTCGACACTGACTGCTCCGACTGGCCCTCTCAATTAACCACAGACTTGGGTTTCAGCAGCCTTATGTTCACAGCCTGTCACTAAAGTCGTCCGCATAAGGCTGTGCTCCCCTCACTTGTGCTGTTTGGATTTGCAATGGTTCTACAGGGCCCTGCTGTTGCTAGGTTGGGGTTCTTTTTAAAGAAATCTGCCACTGAGAAGCGCATGCGCAGTGGTGTGTGAGGCTGGGATTGGCTAGTGATGGGGGTGGAGTGCATACCACAGGCTTCATGTACTGTCCAACAAAGACTGCACTGACTGAGTAGCCAACGCTGACCAAGTTTATTTGTCCTTGTTGGACTACTGACTCTTTCAGCTTGTTGTTTAAAAACTGGTTTTAGGCTGAAATCAATAGCATGTGTAATTCTTTTTTTCATAAATGCAAATAATCCGTTTATGTAGTCTGATAAAAATAAAAATCACAAATGGGAACATCTCTTCATGAAAAAATGGGTGGTGCATTATCTCATAAAACTGACTGGTAGTGATGTGATTTTTAGGTTATACAGGTTTTTTCTTGGATGTATGTGGACATCATGTGCTTTCATAAACTTAGTTAAACTAATTTAGTGCACAGGTTTGGAAAAGCCTGAAATGCTCCATAGCCACTCAAGAAACTGCCAGAGGATGAGAGCAGGTCTGCGTCCAGGTTTCTGAACACACTGAGGTGGCGACGGCATTAGCCCTGAGATGGTGCTGGATCAGACACAACTATGCATAAATGACCTGTAACCCGAAGTCTGGAAGACTGTGTAGGGCAATACAAAGGATTCTTTTTTTTTTTTTTTTACCAGGTTTCCTAATCTTTCTGTACCTTTATTCAATCAAAACTGAGATGAGGCTGCAAATAAAAGATTCTTAAATGCATCTACAGATTTCATTATAATTTCATTAAGTACAAATTTGGTGCAAACACCCTGGTAAACTTTTGGTATGAGTAGCTCCAAACTACTGAGCACCAAATAAAGTGAGTAGATAAAGTAGATCTCCTTATCTGAGTATCCTGAAGGAAAATAGGTCCTGAAGTTATCAACAGAAGTTACATCAAACACTGTAAGTCCATTTTATGTGTATAGTTGTCTTTGTGGGGAGTCTGGAGTTATATTAAGGTACTCTAATAACAGATTGTGGTGGTGTACCTCTTAATATACATGCAAACAATATAATAAACTTTATATAGAAGATAGAAAACTATTCTCAAAAACGGTTTCGTAGTAACAGTTACATTTAGCTAGATTTTACGAGCACTGCTAACGTGGCTACCTTTGTGTTTGTTCGTTCGTTTGTTAATGCCACTTGTTTAATTTATATTTATATAGACTACTTACAAAACGTATTTTTTTTACACACATGAATTCTGTGTTGTTAAAGATAACTTTTAGCAGTTTCCAAGTAGTTCACATGTTAGTTCTATGGGCATGGTAGCTAGATGGGGCTGTAGAGGAAGTGGAGCTTGGCTTACGTTGAGAGGAAGGTGGGCAGAGTCGCTGAAGGATATCAGCTCAGGCAGAGGCGGAGAGGAGGACACACGCAGCAGAAGAGCGAGGCAGACGGAACGGAGAGCGTGAAGTGCACAAAGATGCCGCCGAAAGACCCAGAAAATACACGAAAGTCGGCCAAAAATGCGACGCCGACGACGGCAGACGACGGGGGATAGACACCAGCGGTGCAATGGGTAAGAACTTACAAGCAACCATACATTATTGGCTGAATAATAAGAATCTGGCGCGCAAAGCAATATGGTGGAAAGAACGACAGCTAGGCGCAGTGTTGTAAAAATGGCCATGGTGTGTTGTCAGCGAAGAATGGAGAAAACGGTTTACTGAGTCTAAATGGCTTTGACTTGTGTTTTATTCGATCAATTTTGCATGTTTGGTGTCTCTGTTTTGAGTGAACCAAGTTCATGTGTGAGCAAGTATATTTATTCTCGAAGACTTTGGAGTTATTTCTACCTACGCATTTAAAATTTGCTTTGTCCTTGAAAGGGCAAATGCCCTTGTCTGAATTTACTCGATAAAAACAACAGAATTAAGCAAATGTTTAGCTTTTTAAGCGTTGTATTTGGACAGGTAGACTTCAGCACAGCAACCTTAAACACATTTTTGTTAATTTTCAGTGTATTCTTTTTTAAGGACTTTTCACCGAATTGTAATAAAAAAATCGAAAAAAATATACGGTTTAATTCATCATCTTTTCACAGAGTGTCCTGATGCAGTTTGTTACGATATATGGAAGTATTACTTGTTTAAGACGTTCAATTTATAAATAAAAGCAGTTATTTGTGATAAGCTATCAAAATGCTCAAAATATGGATTGACCATAATCCTTTTAATTGCTTAAACCTCACATAAACTAGACATAACTTGAATTTAAATGATAGACATTGGTATGTTTTAAAATCTTCCATATACTTCGAAATTCAAAATAGGGTGTTGGCTTTTAACCCTTTGAAGCACCTAGTGGATATGTATTATGAATATTTACATAAAATCTATTTTTCAAGTCATATTACTACAGTAAGACATGTTAAAGATTTTCCTATTTGAAATATTCATCACACATGTGAATTTAAAGAAATCCTAAATGGTTTCCAAAACAAAACAGTAAAAGGGTTAAATTGAGAAAAAAAATAACTTTGGTTTTTCAGTTTAAAGGAATAGATTATTGAAACATGAACATAGGAAGACCATTTCTAAACATCATATGAATGTATCTTACATAGTGTTTTTTTTAATACATTCCAACCTTATCCTATAGTTTAGAATATAAAGGATTAGTCCCACCCCGCACATTACAAAATGTCTTCTGTTCGCTATTTTCAAATGGGTGTCAGTTTAGGTGGATTTACTTGCTTTTAGTGCCATTGAGACATACAAATATAACACATTCTCGTGATTAGATATGCAGATATTTATTTATTAATTCCTAAGTATGTAAATGAGCCCGTTGCCAGTTCTGAAAGTATCTTTCATACATATTAAGTGCTAGCTGGCTGTTAATGACGGTTTTATATAGCCACATTATACAACATTTTAATTATGACCACAAAAATTTGCATAATTATATTTCTTCTCTTCCAGGTATTCCCTTCGTTATATTACAAATGACGTCAGTGAAGAAAGGAGGTCATCTCGCTGAATATAATGGTATGTTTTGTACCAAATAGACCAAGCCGAATTTTGTAACCTGAAGAGTTTTTATGTTGTTACTGCTATGTACATGTGACCATTAGGGTGTGCTGTTTTCTCGTGTCTTTTCTAAATTATTATTTCTTTGATTTAAAGGGTTGCCATCTAGCCGCTGTGAACTGAAGAAATTGAGTTATTCTCGCTGCCTTGGAAACCGAAGTAAGTACTAATTGTACAGATTAAGTTTTTTTCAGAAAAAAAATCCTTTCATGTTACTCGGGCTTTTGACTTAAAAAAATATGTTGCATGAAAAGATTACGTTTTACGTGTTTTGAAATTGGACAGCACTGCCCCCTAGTGTATGGTGTAATGTACGTAATTGTTATATATGTCATTACTTGATGTTCGTAGGCCCATTATACTTCGCTAGTTTTAAGCTACCTCAACGTCATGTATCCATTAGTTTCATGCGTGATTGTACTTGAAAAATACCTTAAATCTTGTATATTTCTAACAAGTTGAAACAAAAGTTAATGTCAAACATTACATAAAAACTATAAGCAAGACAAAAAATTGGGTGCCGTGTTTATTAATTAGCGTGCAGTTTTGTTTGATGAACTGATATTACATTTTGGTAAAATTAGCATACGATTATATATAGAAACCTGGCATACTTGAACAAGTTCGTAAAGTAATTTCTCTTTAGCTAGCAAAACAACTTTGTTATTCGTAATTGGAGATAATTCATCTCCCTTGTGTTAAGCTTTCCAATGATGAGATTCGGTCATCACACTCAATACGATTCATGACACCATTTCGTGTAGCGCATGGGCAAGACAAGATGGTAATAATGGATGGCAAGTAACCATTTAAAAAGATAAAATCTAGTTTTGCGTCTACTCTCCATTTGCCCTCTTAACATTTCATACCTATCGTACAATGCGTATTGTACTGCTAGGGCCTTTCGTCTTTACTTGATTGCGGTTAACAAAACCAATGCAGCTCTTCATTATTTTGATGGTTCAAGTAAATGGCCAACATGCTAAAGCCTTTAGAGTGGTCATCAACGAAGACTTCATTCGTTGGAAGTCCTTTTCAAACATGATAGTAGAGCACAGTGGAGGTAAATCGGTGTCAAAAAAGCAGCGTGAAAACCGGCTATTACCCTCTACCGGTTTCCTCTTGGATTCATTGAAAACCTTCAGTCTATTTTTCGCCTGTTTTTCTTCCGTCTATCTTCAGAACAACAAAACAAAGTTAACAAGTAAAGTAATCCTCACTTCACTTGATTTTCCACATCTGTCCTCTTGGGGGCAGTGCTTGAATCTGTATGTTTCTACGAGAATGGGTAGGAGAAACATGCATTAACATAAATAAAACGTGAATTAAGTACGGACTTGTAGAACTGAGTTTGAACAAAGTCATGGAAATAATATCGCGCAATGGCATGTTAAACCAAAAGAAGTGGTAGTAAGATGATTCCAAGCTCTAGTAGAAATTGAGTTTTCTATAATCTTGCCTATAATCCTTTTGTCTATGACACATTACTACTTTAATTATTTTTTTCACTCTTAGTATAAAGACTGACAAGTGGGTTTGGCATGATGTCCTCGTGTTAAGTTAGGGCAAACTTTATAAAAACTCCTGTATCAGAAAGCAAGATGGCAGAGGCCAAAATCACAAACTCTCATATTCAAACGATGAGTGACATTCAGTTTAGTTTTATTTACGCCACGTCCCAGGAAATTTCATCTCTAGAACTCTCAAATCTACAATAACTCAATCTACCGGTTGGACAGATGATGAAATGATGTACACTTTACTGAAATTTATAAATGCCACATCAGCATATTGTGGAAAAAAAATAATTTAACCTCTTTTCAAACTTTATGTAGCATAATTTTCTCAAGTATTGAGGACTAGAGGGGTTGTGTTGCAGAATGATAGTAGTTTCTTAGTACTTTTAAGTACAAGTATGAGCAACAAAACACTTCCCCATCAAAGAAAAAAAAAAAATGATTAAGACACTAGAATGTTAAGTGTTGTAAGAGCCGTAAGCCCTTTGACTACACCACAGACTCGTTACTAGACATATGGTCTCTTTTCTGCAGGAGAACATTTATTTTTTACCCCAAAAAATCAGGTGATCACTGATATTGTAATAATAATTGTTTATTATTAATATTTTAAATGTCGTATTAGTGAAGTGTTTTGTTTTAAACGCCTTTAGCAACTTTATTTTTGGACAAAATAATCATTGATCACCAAATGTCACCAACATATTTCTTTGTTGCTTAAGAAATCATTTGAATTATAATTGAATTGTTATTAAAGACATTGCATCCGATATATTAAACCATGTTACCTTCTTTTGGGGGGGGGGTCATATAGGGTGCGTATACTTTGTGAAGTCGCTGTTTCTATGTTGTTTAATAGCTTTCTTTATTGATATCAACAAACAGTGTAAATCGGTCCTGTTTCATGTAAAACTTTTTTTTCTCTGTGTAGAGCTAATGTATGCTAACTGGATGTGCATTGTTTTTTCACAGTGGACACGAGACCACAGACAAGATTTGAAGCTTTTGAAGAAAAAGAAGACAACCCTGTAAGTTTCGTTTAAGTTTTACTCACAAGACCACTGATTATATTTAAATGAAATAAGTGTTATGCTTCTTTAATGGGTACGGTTCACAATGTAAGTAGGGCTAGCCAGTGGAGACCACTAACATTGGCTCAGTTTGTCAGTTTAATTTGCCTCCTGGTGGCCCGTGACAGAAACAAAACTTACCAAGCTGCTGCCTTTTTAGTTTTGGTCGCTAACATAAATCTTTTGTGTTATTGAAATTTCATCTTGATTCTTTGTTACAACTTTGAGAGTCTATTAAACAGTAGCTGTATGAAAATGACCACTTCCTGAACAGCTGCTTGAATAGTAATAAGAGGCTACTATACCGCTAGCTAAGATATTCAAGGCACAGTCTTTTTCAGTATAGGAACTCGTTCGGTTTATATTGTAGTTCACTCACCTACCAGTTTAATGTGATTTTTCCAATGTGACTTGTTCAAATATTGCTGCTGTTGTGTTATCAAGTTTTACACAAAATGTAGCCTGGGTACGGTTGCTTTCTCAGCATACCCCTGCTGGCCAGTTGATGTATTTATTTAGCTATTTCTTTTACGGATTTCCTCAGCCACGGGTTGTTTTGTTTTTTGTATTTTTATGTAATTCTTTCAAACTCTCCTTAGAGAACATATATCCATTTACCAAAACAAGTTATTTTTTTAGCTGAACTACTAGTGAGATTTGTTTGTTACTGTTCTCACTGTAGAACTTTATGCTAACGTATTTCATGTGTAAACCTTAAAACTAATCTATGATCGTATTTTGTATATTACGATTTTTTGTAAACAAAAATTTGAATTATTTTTTACACATTAAGTCCTATCACAATTTTGTAGTTCTACCAACATTTCCTAGAATCATGCTCATGTTCTAAGCTCGCAAATGCAACTGAAAGCTACTTGTAACTAAACTGTTGTCTAGTTTCACATGCATTCATAAACTGCTGGTCAGTCAATCATTATTTATTTCAGTTGCAGTGTGGGCTTACAATTCTTCTTTTTTTTTATCCTATCAAGAACCCATTCAACTGGATATTGCTGAAGTGGAGACAGCGTTGTTTAACGTGAAGATGGAAAGCGATTCGGCTGTTAGCCAAATTTTACAAGATGAAACCTTTTTCTGAATGGATTTGGGTGCTTGGATTTTACTTTTTTTTTTTTTCTTCGTTAACCACAACATGAACTCTGAAGCACCAATGCTGGCAATATATTGGACACAGAAAATTTTATGTTCCTTTGTCTGTTTGTTTTAAGTTTTTTTTTTTTTTGGGGGTGGGGGGGTAACCAAATCGCCTTTGTACATTTGATATTCAAATGTTGTTTTAAATAAAATGTGTGTGTTTGTATTTATCCCTGGCTTTGTTTTATTAGCTTGATCTAAGAAAAATTGCTAGCAGGGGATTTTTAAAAAGGGTTTTTCATTGGTTCAAATATTTAAGGTTGTTTATACTTCACATTAAGTTAGCATTGTCATTGGGGTCAATGATGCGAAACATTTAATAAGCAACTTACCACCACCAGCTTTTGTGCTGAACAGCTGTCCACATACAACAGGGGTCTTATTCTCTTTTTGGTATTGCTTCTAAAAAAGGATTTCTCATTCTTACAGTGAGATAAAGGTGAAAACAGTGTATGGAAATTCTGTACTTTACCTTTTAATTGGTGTCGAGGTACAACTGACCTAATGAATAAGCAACAAATTAATACTCATTCAGAAGGTGTTTGTCTGGACTCAAATGATTTCTAAAGTTGAGCCTTGAAGGCTCTAAAATGGCTGCTTCTTGTCCTTCTTCCTGTCTGAACAGGAAGTGATGCAATTGCTGCAAAATTTTATACATTCAGAGCTTGTCACTATTCGTACCTTTTGCTAAAAGGAAAGTAACAGTTACATTTGGGGCTTGTGCCCGAGGATTGAAAATAATTGTAAGTTTGTATAAAAGTAATTTTAAACATAATAAAAGGGGTGGGACTTAGACATCACCTGAGTGTGGGGTAAATGGAAATAACGTCAATCAAAGGCAAAGCTTCCAGAGCAGGGAAGGAGCTCTAGATGGCGGCTGAGCCTTGGGAAGGCTGCCATAGACTTTCATTAGACCGTCTCTATTGCTTTTTTTTCGATCAATATCGCTTGATTTTCGTGTAAATTTGAAGACTGCTGTTGTGCGATCGTGTTTTAACGTAATTGGACGCGTTTTGTGCCGTTTTTGTGCTGAAATTTTGCGCTGGAGGGTCCGTCTGTGCTGGCGGAGCGCTTGTCGTTGTTTTCCATACTGGGCTCTGGCAGCCATGGCGCGCCTCCATTTTTAGTGTGCTGCTGCTACTCGTCTCTGACGCTCAGAGCCTGTCAGTCGATGTAGACTGAAGAGGCCTTCAAGCTTTTTGATTTAAAGCTATTTTCTTTTGTAATTTATTACGATATTATTTTTACGGGGTTTTTTCCCCACCCGAGTCGGATACATATTTGAAGTGCGACAGAGCAACGGGGATCTAACTGTTCTGTTATTGACTAGCACCACTTCTCACATTGAATTGATATGTTTACATTGCGTAATGCATAAATAACTGTTTTTTTTATTCGTAAATGTTATTTATCTAGTGCTTCATGTGATGACGCAGTTAAAATGAACGGCATGCGTCTTCATACGAGGACTAAATTGAAAGACATCGTGATATTTAACATTGTTATAGCACCTGCCATTTTTTCTTAGCTCTTTTTGAATTAGCGATGCAAATAATGATCCCCAGATCCATCGATTTAATGTCATTTTTTGTACTCGCGTCGCAACGCCTGGATTTTATCTGCCACCTGAGCAAAAGCAATCCCGTGGGACTTCTGTGATAGTTCATGCTCCCTCTAACTTTTTGACAGTAAATACCAGGACAAAACATCACCTTATCAGGTTTTCAAGACACCACGATGATGAAGAATAAAAGTAAAAAACAAGAGGATGAAGGATCGACTCAAAGCAATGCATCAAGGTATGATACTCCTTTAATTTTGTTTTTAGCCTCTTCGTATTTGGTTTGATTGTTTACCTTGTCAAGCATGGTTGATCACCTGTGTTACATTTACAACGTCGTTTTAAAGAAGTTCACCACTGTCATGAATGACCTTGCTATTGTTTAATAGCCACACCCTGATTTTCCTACCATTTCTCATACACTGTACGGAGGTTTCAGGCCCGTGATCAGACATCACTGTCCATAAGATGTACACCTTCGACCACAGGGAACTCAAATTGTCCTGTGTATTGTTCTAAAAGATTTGACTTCGTGTCCCGTCGTTATGTTTTGTGACCTTGCTTTACAATTTGGGACTGCAATGCACCATTTGATTAACAATGTTTGGGTGACATTTATTTCCTAAACGTTACATTGCCTTGGCTGTGGCCATATTTATATTCCGTGTTTTTATGCGTGTAATTGGTTTTGGGGTCTTGAAAATGTGTTTTCAACTGGCTGTACTCCTTTTCTTCTCTTTCTATGTCAATCTGTTTTATGTTTCAACCTGTAGTCAAAGTTCTGACTAAGTTACAAAGTTTTGGATGATCAGGTTTGTTGTATTTGCATGGTGCTCTTTAAAGAGTTCCTGTTAAAATAAATGATTGTAAATAATTATTGTCTTGCTTTACAGGTTAGTAAAACTTGAGACTTGTGTGTTTTGAAATATCAGCATTCACATGTTCCCATTATTTAAGAACATTTTGATCCTTGTTTGTACCAAAGAAGATTTTTAGATTGTTTAGATTGGAGTTTTCATTTTAAACATATCTCTACACACAGTGATTCTCTATGAATATTTGACCTAAGGATGTTTTTTACTCATCAAGAATGTTATCTCCACAAAGTTTTTATTTTTACAAAACCACTTTTTTTTTGTTATTCTATATTTCTGTTGTTTGAGGTTTGGTTTTAACATAATGCCTGTGAGTGCTGCACGTTACCACCGTTAGTTTTTTATTCTTTCACAATTTGATGCATTTATATAATTTTTTGGGAATAGATTCTAATCTCATGTAAGAAAGTTTAATTTATTAAGATTATGCAAATTGATTTTTCTCTCTTTGTTTCTAATATTTTAATTCCCAAGTCTGTATTTGTCTTCCTCATTTTTTCAAAACTCTCTGGAGGAAAAGGAGAAAAATCCATTGACAAATAAAAGATATCATCTCACCGTATGATTTGAATGGTATATGGGTAATGCAGCACTGCTTGATCAGAAATCACAATCCATATAAAAGAAATGATTGTATCTGATATACTAAGGCTGTTTCCTATATTAAGTTCATTCTCACACATACTATCACAGTATTAAAGTAAATATAACTGTTTTTCAGTAGAGTGTTGTCTTTTGGATTTACCAAACAGAGGTTTTAATAGAAAATGCATGCAATTCCCCTCAGTAATTTATAGATTGTACACTATATCAGGTTACATCACATTTGTAGTTTTTGGTGTGATCTTATGGCAGCCATTTTAGTATTTTGAGCTAGGTGTAAAATATGTCCTCTACAGTAATAACTTATGGGAATTGTAAGCATTTGTAAGCAACCAGATCAGCAGAAGGATCAACAGAAACATCCAGTGACTTTATTTAATGTCATGTTAGAGTCATGTCATTTATATTCTCTGCTGAGTCACAAAATGGCCCTTGCTTTGTATGCCCAGCTTGTTCACTTGTGTGTATAAAAACTCAGCTCAGAACTACACAAAGGAGGAACAGGAAGTGCCCAGGCCTTAATAACACAGACACTGTGCTGTGATTGGCTCGACTTTGACATAGTAACATGGTAGCCAATAGAAATGGGTTAATTCTTTGTCCCTCCCACAAGTGACCTCTCTTAAAGCAGCAAGGGCCTTCTACTTCCGAGTTGAATAATAGGAAGGAAAAAAACAAAACACAACTTCCTGTTGGATATTAGAAGAATACTACTGACAGATTTGACTTACTTCTACTTTTTATGTATCAATAAATATAATTATGTAGTCTTAGCCATTCCATTTTTATTCTCCTTATTAACGTGGTGTTGGAAAATCTGTAAATAAAGCCACAGTAAACTGTTTCAGTCATATCTAGCATCAAAGTAAATCGGCAGTTTTTGGTAAATAAAATTAGGTTTACAGTTGTATTTTCAGTGTTATTTCCAGGGCGTAATCTTTCTTTTAATCAAACATTTTTTTTTAAGCAGTGATTCCTGCAGATTGAATTGAAAGTTTAGTTAACAGCGACCTCATGTGTTCAATGAGAGACACTGCATAAAAGCAAACCCTTTTATTTTCCCTGTTGAGCAGCTTTAGTATATTCGATGTGTTATACCTTACAGATCTTTGTTTTCAAGGATCATATTCAACTTGTCTCGCTGCATTTACATCAGAGATGACAATAACCACATGCAGTTCTTTGTAGCTTTTTGACTAAATACGTTTCCAAATCATTAAGTGGATATTTCACACTCATAATTAGACTAAATAAATGAATGATTCATTTTCAGATTTTTAATCCTTACTTCTCTCTCTGAAAACATTTTTTCTTGGCAAGCGATGAGGGATCAAGAGGTTCTCAGTTAAAGGTGTCTCCAAATAATTGGGTTCAGAAGGAATGGCAGAGGAACTGGCCTCATTCCTTCATGTTAATTGAGCTGCCATTCATTTTGTGTTCCTTAAATATATGAGTGTTTTAAAGAGATTGTGTCTTGATCTGCTTGGACAGGAAGTAAAATGACTAATATTTATAATGTGTTGGTCATGAATTTTCAGTCTTGATTGAGATATTCAGAGCTTGATTGAGCTTATTTAATAATGATACAGCTAACATTGTGATACCATATGGATACATTTGGGCAAGTTTGTTGTGTAATGTTTCTTTTCAAAGTTACTGTTAGATGATCAGTTGGTCTGTGAGAGACTATGGTTGAAACAGGCTTGTTAGCTGAGTGAGGAACATAGCTCGTGATGAAGAGGCTTAGTCACCCCACCTCAATAAGTTATTGTATCTGTGTGATTAGCAGGCAATAGCTTGGTATATACACAGCAGAATCTGAAAGAAAAACCAGGAATTTGTGCTCTTTCCTTGTAGCAACTCGGCTTCAGAGGAATCCAACCGCTCAGCATCAGAATCAGGAAGTCAATCAGAAAGCGAACATGGTGAGCGGAGGAGGTTGCACAACTCAGAGAGCAACAGCTCCTCAGATTCAGAGAGTCGCTCTGAGTCAGAGAGCGAATCTGCCGAGTCCAAATCGCAGCAAACCACTGCCGAAGTCAAAGACAAGCCAGTTCGGAAGAAGGAGCGCCTGGCTGATGTAAAGAAGGTAAAGGTGATTGGATTAAACCTTCTCTGCGGGCTTACTGTTTCCAGACCAAATGGCTGGCTGAGTTCACTCGGCCTCTGTTATTAGACTCCTAATGAGATTAAGAGGTTGGGACATGCAAGACGTTTATATAAAGGGGGCAGCATGGGTGAAGGGACTCTTGCATAAGTAAGGGTTTAGCTCTGTCAGACTGAGGCACTGTCTGAGCGTCCCTGACAGCAGGTTTCCAGCATGTCACGTGCTCACAGCTAGAACAGTAACAATTAAACCTTTTCACTCACAGAGCTGATCCTGTGCTTGCTTTTTTTGTCATTTCAAGCCTGGATCCATTCATAAAAAACAAAAACAAAAAATATATAATGAAAATAGTTTGAAGGGCATGTTGATAACAAATTCAATTACATTGTGTGAGTCCAGTCCATTAATTCCACACTAATAAAGTGCCATTGTGTCATTTTGCCTCAGTCATAATTTCTTCTGAGCTTTTTCGTTATACTATCCCTCAATTTAGTGTTCATTACAGTGTTTTAGGCGATGATCAGCTGCTATGTGATTGAGTATATCAGTTAAACAATCATTCGCAGCCCTGTGGTACCCACATGGAAGTGAAAACATAGTGGCGGTGGAATCTTACCCGTGTTGTACTGATCCACAAGTCCTGCTGAAATGTTACAGATGTGGGAAGAGCATCCAGATGTGTACGGGGTCAGGAGGTCAAACCGCAGCAGGCAGGAGCCTGCCCGTCTCAACATAGGAGCTGAGGTAAGCTGCCACAGAAAAGGTTGATGCATGAACAGATGTGGAAGGTCGCCATCTAGTGGCGGAGGCAGGCCAGTGCCACATCACATGAAGATCCGGTGTTTGCTGAGAAGTCTGCCATGTTGTTACAGGGAAGCAGCGACTCTGAAAGCGAGAGCCCTAAAAGGAAATCATCTCGGGCTAAGAAAAAGGAGTAAGTAAGGAGACGGAACATGTATGGGGATGTGGTCTTTTCTCATCCTTCCATTTATGATTTATTTGATGTTGAAGCACCTTATTATTTCCAGTATTTTTAGTACTGCCTCGAGACACTGACCTCTATTGTCAACAAGATTTCTTTTCTTTCTTTGACACTTAAACCATACAGTAGTCCTTGTGTAGTTCCTGTCTGCCATTCCTTTATCAGTGTTCATACTACAAATCATACTTAGAAATGGGTATCTGTTTGTCTCAGCATGGGCTCAGTGACAGCCAGCCAGGCGATGTGTAACATTTAAAGCAAAATTGATTGGTCAGATCGGTGGCCTATGCCGGATACGAATTGGGTCAAGCTGAGCACCTTACAGCCAGTCTCTAATTGACATTTTAAGAATTAAGAAAAGGAGCGGTGATGGGGCCTTGAGGGTGAACTTGTGGCATTTTCTATGTTAAAAGAAATATCTGGAAAGATGATGACTCAAATGGTGAAGAGGAGGAAGATGGGGAGGAGGAGGAGGCTTCCGAGAGTACAGACAGTGAGCAGGAAGAGAAAAAAGTTAGATCCAGACGACTTCCTGCTAGAAGGTAAGAGTGTAGCGAGGCCTGGCCATCAGACAGCTACCCACGGCTCATCCCCAAATCCTTCCATTTTGTGTGAGCTGTTGTTTGATTTCCACATTTCTACTCTTGTTTTGCTTTTGCGTAACGACCAGAATCCCGCGGCCCGATTTTTGATTGAGACAATTCAATCAAAACATTTGCCACGGGGCGGCCTGTGTGTGAGCGCCTCTCTTCTTGCTGCAGAGTTTTTCTGGCGGAGCGGTAAACAGCTTTGGTGTTTCTGCCCCCTTGTTTTCTTATGCAGACCTCAGACCAAATCTTCTGCTCTGAAAAAGCAGCCGTCCCAAAAAGGAAAGAAGTCGAGGAAGCAAGAGTCCTCGGCCGAAGACGAGGACGATGACGAAGATGAGGATGACGGGGATGACACTCCAAAGAGACAGACTCGACGAAGGGGAGCCACGAAAGTCAAAAGGTGGGTTTCCTTTAAAAATTCCATCAGTTTATGTTCAGGTTTAATTTGATCTGTCGTTGGCTAAAGTTTGTTCTGCTCCTCTGTCCGGTCACAGCTATAAAGAGGACCAGCATGACTTTGAAACAGACTCTGACGACCTGATAGAAATGACGGGGGACGCTTGCGAGGAGCAGCAGGACGACGACAGCGAGACCATTGAGAAAGTGGTCGACACCAGGATTGGGAAAAAAGCAGGTGACCCCCCCTTTCTTGTTTTGCGGACCTTCTGAAGGGAAGCGGTGCCTGTGGCTGTGTCTGTAAAGGTGATGCTTCTTGGCTCCTCCAGCCACCGGAGCATCCACCACCGGGTACTCCGTGGAGGAAAACGGGGACCCGAGTGAAGGCTTCGACCCAGAGAACGAGGAGGGGGAGACTCAGTACCTGATCAAGTGGAAGGGCTGGTCCTACATCCACAACACGTGGGAGAGCATGGACTCTCTGACCCAGCAGAAAGTCAAAGGCCTTAAGAAACTGGACAACTTCAAGAGGAAGAACGACGAGTTGAATTCATGGTGAGGGTCTTTTCCTCTGATTCTGACACCCTAAAATCCCCTCTCTGGAGTTCCTGTTAAAGTCTGACTTTGTCTGCAGGCTGAGGAGGGCGTCTCCTGAGGACGTTGAATTTCATAACTGTCAGCAGGAGCTCATAGCTGACCTGAACAAGCAGTTTCAGATTGTGGAGCGAGTCATCGGTAAGAAGTCCCCGCCCGGCTAATGCTGCAGACCGTATTTTGTGTGATGGGCAGATGAAAGGCTGAACATGAACCTTTTTATGAACAGCAACCAAAACGGGGAAGACGCCGGGATCCTCGGACTTCCCCTGTAAGTGGCTGCTGTCCACAGCTTTTGGGATGCCGCTTTGCTCTGCCCCCTCCGTCAGGTAACGAGCCTCTGCTCTCTCAACAGCTCACAGTCACAAGACCTCATCCTCCAACGAGCCGGAGTACCTGTGCAAGTGGATGGGCTTGCCCTACGCCGAGTGCAGCTGGGAGGACGGAGCCCTGGTCATGAAGAAGTTCCAGCTCTGCATCGACAGCTTCACCAACCGAAACTCCTGCAAGACCGTCCCCTCCAAGGACTGCAAGGTTGGAGTGGCACCGGAGCCGAGCAAGTCGGGTTCCGCCTCCCCGTAACTGAAAATGTCTAACTGTGAGGGGAACCGATGCTCCTGTTGCTTTAGGTGTTGAAGCAAAGGCCCAGGTTCGTCGCCCTGAAGAAACAGCCGTCCTACATTGGCGACGACAACCTTCAACTGAGAGACTACCAGCTGGATGGGGTGAACTGGCTGGCCCACTCCTGGTGCAGGTACTGTGTTCAGGAATGTCACAAGACGCCACCTTTTTGGATGAAGAAAAACAACATGGATGGGCTTCCGAGGCCAATGCTGAAATCGGCCTCGCTCCTTTCCCCTCAGGTGCAACAGCGTTATTCTTGCTGACGAGATGGGGCTGGGAAAGACCATCCAGACCATCTCCTTCCTGTCCTACCTGTTCCACCAGCACCAGCTGTACGGGCCCTTCTTGCTGGTGGTGCCTCTGTCCACGCTCACCTCCTGGCAGAGGGAGTTTGACACCTGGGCCCCAGACATGAACGTGGTGGTTTACATCGGTGACGTCATGAGCAGAAAGACAGTAGGTCCACTCTGTTAGAAACTATTTTGTGAGTGTCCGTTTTGTTTGTGTTTTTTTAAATTGTTGTTTGGTGTTTTGTGTAGATCCGCGACTACGAATGGGTGAACCATCAAACCAAAAGAATCCGTTTCAATGCACTTATTACCACTTATGAGATTCTACTCAAAGACAAGGTGGGATTCTGCGTGAAGCCTTCAGTCCTGTTTCAGCCTGTTCCTGTAAAGGATGCGTAGTTACTGAGTGTCTCAATCTTTGACTCTAGGGAGTCCTGGGAAACATTAACTGGGCATTTCTGGGAGTGGATGAAGCCCACAGGCTGAAGAACGATGACTCCCTGCTCTACAAAACATTAATGGAGTTCAGGTCCAACCACAGACTTCTCATTACTGGCACTCCGCTACAGAACTCCCTCAAAGAACTCTGGTCGCTGTTACACTTCCTCATGCCTGACAAGTATGTCCTGCTCCACCGCTTTAAAACCAGCCCCAAAAGTATCAGGGTTTGTGTTTAAGTTAAAAAAAAACAACTTTTGTGATGCACTCAGGTTTGATTCCTGGGAGGATTTTGAGGATGAACACGGTAAAGGAAGAGAAAATGGTTATCAGAGTCTTCACAAAGTCCTCGAACCTTTCCTGCTCCGGCGAGTGAAGAAAGACGTGGAAAAGTCTCTCCCTGCCAAGGTGGAGCAGATCCTTCGAGTCGACATGACGGCACAACAGAAACAGTTTTACAAGTAGGATCCGTCTCTGTGGAGCATCCATCCAGCGTCCCTCTCTTTGTTGAAATCCTACACGCCATAGCTACGTTTTCTTTCTTCTCGCTCTCTTGCAGGTGGATTTTAACCAGAAATTATAAGGCTCTTTCTAAAGGCACGCGCGGCAGCTCTTCCGGCTTCCTGAACATTGTAATGGAGCTGAAAAAGTGCTGCAACCACAGCTTTCTCATCAAGCAGCCCGAGGATGGAGAATGTGAAGTGAAGGAGCACCTGCAGGTACGGCTCCTCCTGAAGCTCAGGGTCCAGAGCCCAGGCAGCTCTGACCTCATGTTCAGAAAACGGTCTTCAGTGTGTTCTTACAGAGATCTGGACATTTGTTTTTGTTTTTTTCCCTTTTCTAATATTTTCAGGGTCTGGTGAGGGGGAGCGGGAAGCTGGTTCTGATGGACAAGCTGCTCACCCGACTCAGAGAGAGAGGCAACAGAGTCCTGATCTTCTCCCAGATGGTCAGGATGCTGGACATTCTGGCCGAGTATCTGGCCAAGAAACGATACCCATTTCAGGTATGATACGCACAGCCTGAGGCTGAATCCAGATTGTAAAACGATGCTGTCAAAGCCTCTCCGTAGTTATTCTGAGTGAAGTGTTGACCTGTCTCTGCGAGCCAGTTTAGTTTACTAACGGCTTCCTTACCAAAAAACATCAGATTGTTGTGGTCTTAGACGTCACCATTCATTGTCCTGTCCCTTTTAATAGTAGTGCTACTTCTTTTTCTCTAGCATGTCCAAACCAAATAAATCAGACACAGCATTTTACTTGTTGTTTAATTGGTGTTCACAGTGAAAAGGCCCTTTAGCTGCTGCACAAGGCAGATTAGTATCTCCAGCGAGGATCAAATGTCAGTGTTGTTGCACAGAGAAGTAGAGCCCGTGTTTATTTATATCAACAAGTTATTTTCTGCTGGAGAGCAGCTGTACTTTTGCAAGTCACCCGACTGGGTCTGTTTTGTTGTTGCTGAGTTAGCCTTTGCATTAGGCTGTCGTGTGTCCGTCTGGGCACACAGGCGAAGGCGAGCACTGGGATGTGAGATGGTGGCTGTTCAGGTGACCTTTAAATCTATCTTGTTTTTGCGCCTCTGCAGCGACTGGACGGCTCCATAAAGGGAGAAATCCGAAAGCAAGCACTCGACCACTTTAATGCAGAAGGCTCAGAGGTATGTGCTCTTTTATCTGTGCTCCCGCATTTGGGCGTCGAAGTGTTTCTGGAACTGTCATTTTAAAACACTATACAGCCTCTGATAAATCTTATCTTACCTTTTGGGAGTTGTGAATAAATTAGTTTGATTAATAAAAATAGTTATGAACGTGGATTCAAGTGTAACTAATTGTGCTGTTTGCCATGTTTGCAGGACTTCTGCTTCCTGTTATCCACCAGGGCTGGAGGTCTGGGTATCAACCTGGCCTCAGCAGATACTGTGGTCATCTTTGACTCAGACTGGAACCCTCAGAATGACCTCCAGGCACAAGCAAGAGCTCACAGGATTGGACAGAAGAAACAGGTAATTCCTGGCTGTTACTGTGGACGAGCTGCACACCAGCTAAAGGTCTAAACACAAACCAATCCTGTTGTTTCCTCACAGGTAAATATATATCGACTTGTTACCAAAGGAACTGTGGAGGAGGACATCATTGAGAGGGCGAAGAAGAAGATGGTTTTGGACCATCTTGTCATTCAGAGAATGGACACCACGGGTCGAACTGTTCTGGACAGCAACTCAGGAAACACAAAGTATGATTCTGAGAAGCCACCAGCTTTTCTTCAGCGTGTTAGTTGTGTATTAAGCAGCCTGCGGTTTTCCTTTTTACAGTTCAAACCCTTTTAATAAAGAAGAACTGACAGCCATCCTTAAGTTTGGTGCTGAGGATCTTTTCAAAGAGGCAGAGGGGGAGGAGTCTGAGCCTCAGGTCAGGCAACACCGGGAAACATCAGATGTGCACCAACAGCTGCAGGGTCACATGTTTGGATCAATGACGCAGAATTTTTTGTTTCTGTAGGAGATGGACATCGATGAGATCTTGAGGTTGGCGGAAACAAGAGAAAGTGACCTGGGCTCCAGTGCTACAGATGAACTTCTGTCGCAGTTTAAGGTAGCAGCTTTGATCCGTTACAGCTCGATATTCCAAAGCCGGGTAAAGCTCGATTGAACTCTTCTTGCTTTTTATTTTTTATTTTTAACCTTTTCTCTTTTTTTCTTCTCATTCCTGCAGGTCGCCAACTTCTCCACTAACGAAGAACCCAGTCCAGAGTTTGAGGGGAGGGCTATACGGGAATGGGACGACATCATCCCCGAGGACCAACGCCGGAAAATTGAGGAGGAGGAGAAGCAGCGGGAGATGGAGGACATCTTCATGCTGCCCAGGAGCAGGAGCTCCAACAAACGGGTGGGAGGATTTTTTTCAACCCCTTCCTCAGGCGTCATTAGGGTTACACTTGTCTGCAGCTGTTGCGTCACTAGACGGCCGTGCTTTGTTTCTCAGGCTCAGGCCAACGACAGCGACAGCGACGTGGGCTCCAAGCTCAAACACCACTCCTCCGGCTCCGAAAGTGAGACGGACGACAGCGACGACGACAAGAAGCCCAAGAAGAGGGGCAGACCCCGAGCTCGCAAAAACAACGTGGAGGGCTTCACCGACGCAGAGATCCGCAGGTATTCTTCTTTGCGTTTCTCAGTGAGAACCAGATTAGGCTTTGCCTCATATGTCACCAAGGCAAAACTCTCATCATCTCAATATCATCTATTCAGGTTCATTAAGGCATACAAGAAGTTTGGATCTCCCCTTGAAAGGTATGTCTGATAGATACGGATATGTCATTCCACATTTGGGCCTGTTTTGGAGCGCCTCAGACAAACCTGTGTCTGGTATCAGGTTGGAGGCCATTGCCCGGGACTCTGAGCTGGTGGACAAGTCCATAGCTGACCTGAAGAGGCTGGGAGAGCTGATCCACAGCAGCTGTGTGACTGCAGTGCAGGAGCACGAGGAACACCTCAAAGAGAACCCGGTGGAAGGTTTGTTGCTTTTAGTTTTCCTTTCTTTCTTTCCTTCCTTTTTTTTTTCCCCTGGAGGAAAAAAAAAAAAGAGAACTACTTCAGGGTTACCCAGAAATGAGACATGATGTTATTCCAGCCAAAGGTCCCGGGAAGAGACGAGGAATTAATATCAAGATTTCAGGAGTGCAAGTCAATGCCAAGTCCATCATCCAGCACGAGGACGAGTTTGAGCCTCTGCACAAAGCGGTGCCCTCCGACCCCGCCGAGAGAAATAAGTAAGGCTGGAATTACAGAGAGCGTCCTTTGTGTCTGTTTGAGGACGCTCGGAAAGGTCTTCTGGACAAACCCTGACGGCACTCTGCTGCTCCCCACAGGTTCGGGCTCACGTGCAGGGTGAAAATAGCTCACTTTGATGCAGACTGGGAGCTGCAGGATGACATCCAGCTCTTACTGGGCATCTACGAGCATGGCTTTGGAAACTGGGATCTGATCAAGACCGATCCCGACCTCAAACTGGCAGACAAGGCAAGCCTTTATGGAGCCGACCAGCGGTCAGATCCGCTGTTAGGAGAGAAGTGGGACAGCTGTTGATGTCTGTTTACCTGTGCGCAGATCCTTCCTGATGACCCGAGCAAGAAGCCTCAAGCCAAGCAGCTGCAGGCCAGAGCCGAGTATCTGCTGAAGCTGCTTAAAAAAGAGCAGGACAGCACAGATCTCTCTAAAACGGGGGAGGAGGTACGCTGCTGTGCGAGTTCGTATGTATTTTTGTTATTTTTTTCACTCATCTGGTTTTGACCTCCAAGGTAAAAGTGAGGAAGAGGAAGCCTCGGGTGAAAAAGGAGAACAAGATTCTCAAAGACGAGCAGGGAAATGACATCTCCTCCCCCCGGCTGTCCGATAACCCGTCAGAGGAGGGCGAGGTTAAGGTCAGTCACACACACACTATACGAGGGCGCGCAATTAGGACTGTTCAGCATTCCAAATACGAATTTTTTATTAGCACACGGAACTTAAATTGCCACATGCGGCCGCAGCCTTTGACTTTTTCTTTGCTGTGATCAGGATGACGGAACAGAAAAGCCAAGCGTCAAGAAGAGACAAAAGAAAAAGGATAACAAAGAGAACAAAGAAAAACAGGGAACACCTAAAAAGGAGAAGGATGGGGACAAAGAAAAGAAGGCCTCCAAGCCCAGAGCAGAGAAGGTATCTCACATCAGAAGTTTGTTTTCCTTTATTTTAGACATAAAGAGAAAACCTACATACACTCTGTGGGTTAAGTGTCTTACTGTTTCTTTTTTGTTTCGTTACAGGCAAAAGCGGTCAAAGGGAAGAAGAACCAGGGTCCAGTCCACATCACAGCCGGGTCTGATCCCATCCCCATTGAAGGGAAGGAGGATGATGAACTTGACCAAGAGACATTCAGTATTGTGAGCTTTGTCTCTTTTTCAGTGCAATTTAAATGCGTTTTTCTTTTCTTTTTTTTCTTAAAAAAGCTGCTCCTTAACCCACGTCTTTCCTGTGTGCAGTGCAAAGAGCGCATGAGACCAGTGAAGAAGGCCCTGAAGCAGCTGGATAAACCAGACGAGGGTCTGTCCGACCAGGAGCAGCTGCAGCACACGCGCTCCTGCCTGCTGAAGATAGGAGACCGAATCACAGAGTGCCTTAAAGCCTACAGCGACCCCGAGCACGTCAAAACGTGGAGAAGGTGAGAGGAGCCAGCTGCAGTTTAGTCGGATCGCACCCAGCTCCGGGATGTTCTGCCCCTTTTTGGTAATCATCTGCTCTCTTTTTATTTTTGGCTTTTGGCAGGAATCTTTGGATTTTTGTGTCCAAGTTCACAGAGTTTGGTGCAAGGAAGCTTCACAAGCTTTACAAAATGGCTCAGAAGAAGCGATCGCACGAGGAAGAGGTGAGCTGCCGGAGGGCCGTTGGGTCAGCTCGCCCCACCACCTGTGGCAAACACTAAATCCCCCTTCTGACCATTTCCAGAAGGAGCTAAAGAAGAAGGAAGACGTTTCAGGAAGAGTAAAATCGTTCAGGCCGGAGGCTTCTGGTTCCAGCCGGGACTCCACAGGCACCCAGCCCTCCTCCAAGTCTCACGCAGCTCAGTCAGGGCCGCACGGACACCACAGAGAACCCTACAAACGCCACTTTGGCAACGACGGTACGTCCAGACGGGCTGACCTATCTGCAGAGCCCCAGAGAGAACAGATCCAGCCGTCTTTAGAACCGGTGGCTGACAGCAGCTCTCTGACACGCTGCCCATTTAAACTGACCTCTCTCCCGTCCACTCGCAGATCGAGGAGACTGGCAGAGGGATCGTAAATACAGCTACCCGGGAAACAGCAGCCAGTCCTGGCAGGGGGACCGCCACCACCCGTACGACCCCCACCGCTACAAGGATCACTACAGCGAGCGCCGAGACTCCTACCGCAGCTCGGGCAGCTACCGCAACAACAGCTCCCCTCGGAAGCGGCCGTACGACCAGTACAGCAACGACAGAGACCACCGGGGCCACCGGCCCTATTACGACAGGTGGGCGGAGCCAAGGTCTGCTGGCACACGAGAGCAAACGCCCAAAAAGGCTTAGAAACAGTCAGCAGCTCACAGAAAGACCTCAGAAATAAAATCCATGATTTTAATTGATCTTTCGCAGGCACCCGGACCCCAAACGAAGACGTCCTGATGACTTCCGTCCCAGCTACCACCAGGGGAGCGAAGGCCCCCATCAGGACTTCAGGAGGCTGCCGGACCACAGGCCGGCCGGTCCAGCCGGACCGGAGCACTACAGCCGGCCCTTCCACCCGGACAAACCTCCCCCGCTGGACCCGCGCTCCCCGCAGTCCCAGAAGTCCCCCCAGGACTCCCGCTCCCCACTGGAGCGGCCCACGGAGCCCGGCGCGGCCGGAGAGCCCAACTGGATAAACAGGAAAACATAAAGCCCCCCGGGGCCGGCTCAGACCGATCCAAGTATTTTATCCAGGGTCAAGGCCTCGTGATGCTGCGGATGGACAAGCACGAACTCGCCATTGATAAGCTCACTGTTGAAAAGGGAATCAACATAACTTCTCTTTACCAGCAAAACCAAACTCTGACTGTCCTCACAGTGACTGCTGTGAGGGATTTGCACCCTAAAGGAGGAATTTAGTTTCTATCTGTCTGACGCAAAAAAACAACGCTTCGACATGCATCTGTATTTTAGCGAACTGTCTCATGACTTTATCATGGTAAGACTGTGGGAGCCTCCACACGCTTAGTCCCATGGACTACTACAAGGAAAGTTTAGGATGCATGAACTGATGAGTCATCTCGGTCCTAAAAGTGCCTGAAGGTTTTGACCTTTTGAATGGTAAATGTATGGGATTATTCCCAAAGGAACCATGACGTGGACATTATTATTATTATTTTTTATTATTATTATTTTAATTTTCTTTGTGCGTGTGTGTGTGCGAGTGTGCACATGTTTAGCTTTAAGTATTGCAAATGATGTCATTCAAAGATTTTGGTACAATAGAATGTGAAGCGTGTTGTCATTTGCACCTTGAAAACCTTTTGATGTAGCCGGACCGAATCATGGATGAATCGCTGGAAATTGGATCGAACAAGCCAGTATTTTGGATTCACACGCTCGTCGGGACTTTTTAGCACATCCATATTCACCGTGTACATTTCCTGTGGCTGTAAACAGCACTGCAGTCTTCCCGCTCCGCTCACTGCTATCCCTCCTCTCCACGGGCTCCGTGAGATGGGGAGCTAGTATTTAAGCCAAAAGGCTCATAACACTATGGAATAGAACAATCCTTTATTTTTGACTTCCAGTGTTATAATGGTTATGAATGGTACATCTGTCCCCTCATTGATTCACTCTTTTTCCACCTAATAAAAGTGCTCATGAAGGAGGTGACTTTCTTACTCATTGATTTCTGGTTAAACGTTTCCACTCCCCACACAGGCCCTGGCCCTCTGATTATGATGGATCCCCTACGGTCACCCCCTCTGTGCCAAATCTGCTCCTTCCCCTCTCCTTTTTTGTTTTTCTCCTTTTTTAAAGCTGCTTTATTTGTGCCTTATTTCTGTGCATTACCACACCACAAACTGGTTGTTGACGGTACACGGTATGCTCACCTTCTGGGAACAAGTGTTCCGTCATGGTTCGGTTCAGATCCGCCGAAGGGACCATGTTCTGTAGTCATTCACCTGACTCTGTGATCATTATCATATTTTGTTTTTTTTTTCCCCCCAGAAGAGCTGGTGATTTAAGGGGGTTCTTCTCTAATCGTTACTATACAGACGTGTGTGTTTTGTCCTGGGTAATACTCGACCTGTTTCAGTGAACAGCCAACGCTCTCTCACGCAAAGCAATCTACCGTTCCTGTATAATATGTTCAGTATGAAAGTCTAGATAATTTATATTTGTGACAAAACCACTCTTCGTGACAAATGTGCTGTACATATGTTTGGACATATGTAATAAACTTTGTTACACAACGACAGTCCATTTCTGTATCTCTTCTACTGATGTGCTCTTAGATTTTCTGTAAGTTCGCCCAGGAAATGGGAACGTTCTCTTTATGAGGCGATTTGTTCCCCCCTCCTCCTGATGTCATTTCCACCAGAATGGAAGGATCAATGCAGCATCGTGTTTGCTAAAAGTATCGCAGTGGTTTAGACTTTTACTGGTTTATCTATCAAAACTTCTGTGCCAAGAGTTCGGGCACAGCTGGGAGCTTTCCCTGCTGTGGCTCATTCCTGTCACATAAAGGAAATTTGGTCATTTTCGCTTCATTAACTAAAATAAAGGCTCGCGTTGAAACTGAAGGTTAATCTGGTTAAAGAAACGTGCCCTTTGTCTAATGAGGTGGGTGTTTGTTTGTTTTTTACCCATAATCCAATTGGGAGAGCCTGTGACACCAATTCCTCCTCCGTTTCTGGTATTTGAGGATCTGAACCTGTGATGCTAAAATTTCAACTGGAATTAGGTGACTGGAGGATTTGGGCAAATAAACAATTCTGTATTAAACTTAAACCAAGTGGCGCCATCTATTAGTAACTCTGCCCTGTGGGGTCCGTTGTGATGGTCCTGTTTGTTTAACTTCCCCCTCTGTGAAGCACTTTGCACAGCTATAGAGCCATCAGTGAGAACACCTCAGTCCTGGGCACAGTGGAGTGATCAAACAGGATAATGGCAGTTTCAAGAAAAGGCAACCTCAATCCGGAGGCGCTTGTCACAGATCCACTTGCATTCTGCTTAAAGACTTCTAAAAGGTTGAGAGATCCCTAAAAGGCAAGTGATACAAGTAAAGTCACAGCTTTGTGTTTTCTCTTTTGTCAATTAGATGTAGACACACAAATTCATACTTAAACTCTTACTCCCAAGTCCAATAATTACAGAGGTATTTGTTCACTCTCGGTTTTATGCTGTGTGTCCAGCAGGGGGCAGCACGACCCCACCGATCTGAAAGGGGGACAAAGCAGTGATTTAAAAACATAAGATTTCCCAGAATGAACGACTGAGACGTGCTATTAACAAGACATTGTCTTTTATTCAATAAATAACTTACATTATAAACAGCTGAAAGGTGGAACCACATTTGATTTACACACAACAGTTCAGAGTTTGTTCGTTCTGGCATTTCCCATTCAGCTATTGTTTTATTCTCTTTAACCGTCACAAGTCAAACAAAGTAAGAGCTAAACGTAAAACATAAAGTGCTTTCAACTCAAAAACATCAACGCCACATGACGCTTTCCTACATTCTCTTTTCTGGTGAGGGTGGGCTGCTTTTCGAGGTGTCTTTACCTCTACAATAACTACAATGAGTGTGTGTGTGTGTGTGTGTGAGCCGAGGACTCTACTGTTCTGTGGCGTTCATGTTTTTGTAAAAAAAAAAAAAAAATCCCTTTTGAAACAAAAAAAAAAAGAGAAAAAAAAGGTTCACATTCACAAAACGTCTGATGTACAAAAACTGGAGTGAGAAATTCAAAAACACAACCGGTGATGTACAAATTGAAACTCAACGATGCACAAAACATATGTACAACCTCACATAATACACGCACGTTATACTGTGGAACGCACAATACGAATTACAGCTATTAACACAAGATTCCACATCACAAC